TGAAGTATGGTCACGCGACTCCATGACAGAAAGGTTTGGGGAGGCCTACATCAAGTGGCCTGACAACGGGCTTTACATTATGATGTATCAATCTTACAGTGTGTGGTGATACTGTGTTGGCAGAGGTACACAAGCACGAATAACAACAAACTCAGCCCATTGAGGAAGTCTCCTCTCTGGCCTCTGGATTTTCTGTTAAGGGCCCATTTCGCAAAACGTCGCCTATTACACACGTTTCATTTTAAGGCCACGGTGCTATCGATGTATTCTTCATTTTGGCTTGCGCATAAATCCACATGGCGTTATGTAACACCGGGGCTGATGGGTGTTGCTAGTGGAGTCGCACCGATGACGATGCAGCTCGGCGACCTGCCGCGGAGTTGCGATCACAAAGGGCAACGAGACACCGAGCGCCGCCGCCGCCACCACCACCACCACCACCGCCGCCGCCGCCGCGCGTCCCCCGGGGGGTTACGTTTCACAAGTCGCCACCCTTGTGCAACGCACGGCAGCCGCCAGGGCCGTCCATAGGGAGGGTGCGGGGCCTGGGGTAAATCGCACCGTGCAGGCAACCTCCCCACACCGACACCTTCAATCTAATCCAGAAGAATTACATCTGACGCCGTGACATCGAAGCCCCGTGACCACCCCCTCCAAAGCAGGGGGCCCGGGGCGGTCGCCCCGATTCGCCGTACCAGTAGGGACGGCTCTGTCAGCAGCGGCAGCATCCACAACTACTGACACCACCAATGCTGCACGAAAGTAATGGGGAAAAGCTACACCGTATTGCAACGCCAAAAGTTCTACAAACGGAGATGGCCGCGTTATAACACCGGCAAAGTATCTATTAAGGCTGGCACATAAATATTCGAGATGTCAAAAAATCCACAACTGAAACGTTGTGGGCAGCAGAGGGCAGTGTCATAAACACAGTGTTGCACTGTACATTCAAGCTCCCACGTCTATGCTCTCCGCAATCATCAACCAGAATGAGCACACGTCGTGCAGCCCTTTAGGATGAGGGCCTCCCCATGCCGTGCCGAGGGGAGGGGCATATGGACAAACTTCACCACGCTGATCAACGCGAGTCGGCAAAGCTGGGGAGAGCACAGACATGGAAGCATAGACGTACGGTACACAACAACGGATTTTGCTGCCTGTGCCAAACTGTGCTACACGCAAAGTCACCTCTTTGATGCACGGTGGCCACCCATCCAAGCGATAACGAGGCTCAAATCTGCTTATCTTACGAAATCTGATATTTCTACATGCCAGGTGATTTATTTACACAGAATGCAGCAATATACGTGTTACCCGTTATGTGTTTTGACATTTCTAGTATTTACATGCCAATGGTAATAAATTAAAGTTCTGTTGTTTCAATGCAGGATTCCCCGACTGTATACAGCTGCTGCAATTAATAACTTGGGGGAAGGCGAGTCCACACGAATCAGAATCAGCATGTGCTTGTATGCTGCGTTGAGTCACCCAGTGGCGTGATACGCCAGCGCAGAGGTCAGTGACAAAGGGAACCTGGGTCAGGGGTCACTGGACCCATGGTGCACAGGGTGAGGAGGTGAGAAGGTCACGGGGCAAAGAGCACGATGGGTCTAAGCTTCTTTGGGACCGCAAGGTCCCAGGGGTCAGAGGTCTCAGGCACTTTTCAACAATCAGGCAAAGCTGTTAAAAACGAGCAGTGGGGTGTTTTTAACACATGTCGCATCGTCATTTTAAAATAGTGTTAACTTAGCGAGTTTTAGCAAATCCACTACAGGATGAAAGTTTATCCACACCACGTTGGCCACAGGGTTTCTTTGACCATACTTCGCCAAGTTCGTGAGCGCGGGGGCTGGTGACGGCAGGGAGCATAGAAGTATAGCTAAATAGATTTTGTGCTTTCCACTGCTGCACACCACGTAGCCCCATGCCAGTCTCGAAGACAACCTGTTTGTGGATGGTTGGTCTCCCATCCAAAACTATTCAAGCGTAACCCTGCTTAGCTGGAGCTCTGACGAGACTGAGTTCATTTTGGGTGACTTGATCACCTCCCGAGTAAATCCTTAACAATTATGAAATACATTGGTCATTTAAATAGTTTCAGTACTGTACACAGGCAGAGCGGTGGCGCAGCGGGTAGCACGTTGCGCAATGAAACCGGAAACCAGATTTTGATTCACAACCGGCCCTGCTTCACCAATCCACACTAACCAGCGTGGTGATGTATGGTCAAAGAAACCCCAGGATCAACATGACATGTGGGGGTGGGGGGCATCATCCACTGGTGTATTGAGAAAGGCTGGAATTTATTATAATTACTTGTATATAAGTTTTGCAAATATAAATTTAACTTTTTTTCCCAGGACCCAGTAGTGCTGGGGTCAAGCTATGGGGCAGACTGAGTGGCACTGTATGTTTGAGTGGTCGTGATGTCCTTGCTCCCAAAAGATTTGTCACTGCCGATGCCAAAACAACAGACAAGCAGGCCAGGAGGAGCAGCACGCTACCCGTTGCGCCACCACTCTCCGCCAACTATATCCCTGCAGCATGGACGCTTGCAACTGCAGTAGTCCTCCATGCACACTGGCCTGCACCATTACAGAATGTGGATTCTTCTAGCAACTGCATGCGACCGCGTCTCAAGAAGCTGTCCGGACTCAGAGGGAATTTATATTTTGTCAAGAGGCATTCAGTGATAAGCAGACACATACAAGGTAAAATTTGAGCCTGGAATAAAACAGGGGCAGGAAATCAACTGCACAGATGAATTAGGGAAGGGAGTTCCAGGCAATAGCGGGAGCAGGGAAGAATGAGCGACCTCCCAATGAAGGGGCAACTGGAGGCATTGAAATTAAAGCCTTGGTTGATGAACCGGAGATGAGAGGGGAGAAGTAGAAGAGTGCATGGAGAGGAGTAGAGTGAGATGAGGGGAGTGGGGGGGAAGTGTATGGAGGGGAGTGAAATGGGAGGAGAGAGATAGGTGAGTGCATGGAGGGGAGTAGAGTGAGATGAGAGACAAACGATAGGCATGGACGAGTCCAGAGAGGATCTTGAAGACATCAGTAAGTGCGATCTTTAAATTGCTCCTAAGATTGAATTGGCAGGCAGTGTAGGGATTGGGGTGATGTGGCCGCCTTTACGGGCGCTGGTGAGAGGTCTGGCAGAAGCATTTTGGGTCATCACCTGCATCTAAACGACCTGCGAAATGCACACTTACAGACTGGTTTATCTGCCACACGCTCACCTATGCAATGTGTTCACCTGCCTCTGTAAACCCTATCACATGCTCACATTCAAACGCAAAGACTCAATAAAGAAACGAACACAAATTCCACCACAATGCCCTCCTGATAAGTATATGGACTCTGAGAGGCTTTCCCGCTTAGAGATCGGAGAATGAGGATTTTGTGATAATTCCTTGCAGCAAAATCACCTGCAGCCACAAGCCCAGAGAGCCCTGCAGCACACTCACCTGTGTTTACCTGGCCTCACCTGGCCTTGTGTACGCGTGGGTTATTGCGCAATACCAAGACACAGATGTGAAGGTGCAGTGCAAGTATAGTGTAAAGAAAGGTGCACACACATCTCCTCCCTGGACACACAAACACATCTCCCTGGACACACATCATACTTAACCACCTGAACATACACGCCACGCACACACACCTGTGCACACTTACACCATTCACATAATCACACACACACCTGGATACACAGTACACTTACATAATTAAATGCACTGATTATGTAAATATATAGACACACCTGGACATAGTACACACAATTTGTACTCGCACAGCTGCTGTTCACCATTAAGTGGCGGTGAGGTTACCATGGGGCTTGTGCCAGGCTAAGTGCACATTGTGGGTGTCAAGTGAAGTGTGGAAGGCTCGCTTGCGGGGCAGGTCAACACCTCGTGCACACAAAGACAAATACACACAAAGTACACCGGCGAAAACACCATCACACACATGCAACGCAATGTACACAAAACATTTTAACTGGTTTAAAATATCCGAATAGAAAAACAAATGCAAGTATGGCTTTCTTGTGTAAATAATCATCACACGAGAATCATTCGCATACAACACGTGCACAGTGCACCATACGTACACACATTACACCCACCTGCACACTCGACACCCAAAACTTAAGCCAATATGAACATACTTTACATATACAGTACCCCACACCAAGCACACTTGAATATAGCAACTACACACATGCACACCTCAACATGGACAATATAAACATCTCAACACAAACTCACCACACACACACACACACCTGTAAACACAAAGACATTTGCCGTCCAGGTGCAAAATCCATGTTACCACAACAAACACCTCCACCACGACCATCACCTCCACCATTACCATCACCACCACTACCATCACCTCCACCACCACCATCACCTCCACCACTACTACCATCACCTCCACCACCACCATCACGTCCACCTCCACCACCACCATCACCACCATCACCTCCACCATTACCATCACCACCACCATTAACATCACCTCCACCACTACCATCACCATCACGTCCACCACCACCATCACCTCCACCATTACCATCACGTCCACCTCCACCATTACCATCACCACCATCACCACTACCATCACCTCCACCACTACCATCACCTCCACCACTACCATCACGTCCACCACCATTACGATCACGTCCACCACCACTACCATCACGTCCACTACCATCACGTCCACCACTACCACCACCACCACTACCATCACATCCACCATTACCATCACGTCCACCACCACCATTACTATCACCACCACCACTACCATCACGTCCACCACTACCATCACCACCACCATTACCATCACCACTACCATCACTACCACCACTACCATCACCTCCACCACCACCATCACGTCCACCACCATTACCATCACCACTACCATCACCACCACCACTACCATCACCATCACCACTGCCATCACCTCCAATGCGACTCTCACTGACACGACCCCACGCACCTTGCACTGACATGGGCCCTACAGGCGAAGGCGGCTGCTGCTGCTGATGATGTTGCTGCTGCTGCTGATGGTGCTGTGGATGCTGTTGTGGATGCTGCTGCTGCTGCTGCGGATGCTGCTGCTGCTGGTGGTGGGGCTGCTGGTGAGGCTGTCCATTCATGACCGGCCCCGCCATAGGAACGGGGATATGCGGCTGCGGCGGTGGCACGCACACGGCGCACAGGGAGTGTAGACATGGCAGCAGCTTGGGCTCCCGCCTCTGGAGGCCCTGGCCACAGGCAGCGCAAGACTCCAGGAGATTGAGAGGAGGAGGAGGAGGTGCTGGCTGTAGTAGAGCAACCTCCTCGCCGGGCACAGCCTCCTCTTTGTTGTTGCTGCTGCTGCTCCTGCCGTCCTCCTCCTTGCCGCTGCTGCTGTTGTTGTCGCCGCCGCTGTTGTTGTTGTTGTTGACGATGATGATGTTGTTGTTGTCACCGTCAGACGCTTTCTCCGCGTCGTGTTCAGGCCCCGCGGGCCCGGCCGCCTCGGAGGCCGCCTTTGTCTGGGAGCCCGCGGGGTCCGCCGTCAAAGTGGGGCCCGCGGATAATGCGGCCTGCTCATCAGAGGCCCTGTCTTTGTCATCTCCTCGCGGCCCCGCGTCGCTCTGGCTGCTGCCGCCGCCGCCGTCTCTCGTCTCCTGCTCGTGCTGGGAGTGGAGGAGAAGCCGCAGCTGCGGATGCTGGTTGAGGTGGTTGCTGTGGTGGTGGTGGTTGTGCTCGGGGCCCACTAGGACGGGCACGGCGATTTCTCCGTTCGCCCCGGTCACGCTGACCAGCACCACGTCGTCCATGGCCGCTCCGACACTCCGGGGCTCGAGGCCGCGGCCTCCTCCGTCTCCCTCCTCCTCCCTTCTCCTCTTCCTTCTTCACGTCGTTGTCCTCCACGTGCTCGCACCTCGTCAACCACCACTACCTCCTCGTCGTCGTCCTCCTCCACTGGAGTAGCCGAGCTGAAGCTGGGGATCCAGCCCGGTCGCCCGAGACTCGCACACAGACGCGCGCGCTCTCCGGCTGCCCCCACCGCCGCCGCCGCCATCAACGTCACCCGACTCGGCACTCGCGGCGCGGGGAAAGCCACAGCGCCCCCTGGTGGGCAACGGGGACAACTCTCAGACTCTCCACAACTCTCAACAGACTCTCCACAACTCTCAACAGACTCTCCACAACTCTCCAAGACTCTCCACAACTCTCCCAGACTCTCCAAGACTCTCCACAACTCTCCCAGACTCTCCACAACTCTCCAAGACTCTCCACAACTCTCCCAGACTCTCCACAACTCTCCCAGACTCTCCAAGACTCTCCACAACTCTCTTAGACTCTCCACAACTCTCCCAGACTCTCCACAACTCTCCAAGACTCTCCACAACTCTCCCAGACTCTCCAAGACTCTCCACAACTCTCTTAGACTCTCCACAACTCTCCCAGACTCTCCACAACTCTCCCAGACTCTCCCAGACTCTCCAAGACTCCACAATTCTCTTAGACTCTCCACAACTCTCCCAGACTCTCCAAGACTCTCCACAACTCTCTTACTCTCCACAACTCTCCCAGACTCTCCAAGACTCTCCACAACTCTCTTAGACTCTCCACAACTCTCCCAGACTCTTCACAACTCTCCCAGACTCTCCAACTCTCCACAACTCTCTTAGACTCTCCAAGACTCTCCACAACTCAATTAGACTCTCCAAGACTCTCCACAACTCTCCCAGACTCTCCACAACTCTCCCAGACTCTCCAAGACTCTCCACACCTCTCCCAGACTCTCCAAGACTCTCCACAAATCTCTTAGACTCTCCACAACTCAATTAGACTCTCTTAGACTCTCCACAACTCTCTCAGACTCTCCAAGACTTTCCATAACTCTCGTAGACTCTCCAAGACTCTCCACAACTCTCTTAGACTCTCCACAACTCTCCCAGACTCTCCAAAACTCTCCACAACTCTCTTAGACTCTCCACAACTCTCCCACTCTCCAAGACTCTCCACAACTCTCTTAGACTTTCCACAACTCTCCCAGAATATCCAAAACTCTTCACAACTCTCCCACTCTCCAAGACTCTCCAGGACTCTCTTAGACTCTCCACAACTCTCCCAGACTCTCCACAACTCTCCAAGACTCTCCACACCTCTCCCAATCTTCGAAACTCTCCCAGACTCTCCTAGACTCTCCACACCTCTCCCATACTCTCTACAACTCTCCCCGTATCTCCCCAACTCTCCAAGAATCCCCTGTATTCCCCCAGCTCTCCGTCTCTCCTAGAATCTCTATACTATCAATGTCCTCTCTATTGCAACTATCTGTCCCCCTCAACCCGTCCTGTCTCTCCCAGCGCTCTCGGTCTCTGCCAACTCTCCTGGCTCTCCCACACTCTCCCTGTTCTCCCTCCATACCTTCATCTTCACCCTGTCCAACGGTGTCGCTGTCGAGTGTGCAGGCGGTGCAACTGCATCGGGGTCCACGGACCGGAATGACCCAGGCGCCGTGCTGTGAAGGTGTGGGTGGGAAATGGACAATGGGGGCCAAAATCCACCGTATCCCTCTCCACCACTGCTGGACACGCACTCTCCAGTCTCCTCTTGTCCCCGTCGATTATTCGACTTCCTCCTCCTGGACCCCCCTCCCCGCGGACCCCCCCTGCAGAGCGGCCATGTAATTGGTAACTCTTTACCCCAGCGAGGTGCCCAGCTGGCCTTCTCAGGGACACGTGTGACTCACGGAGACGTTGACACGCGGAGCACTCACGCCGGGTTGCCGCTTACCCACCACCCCCTCGGGATTCTCACAGCACCCCCCCCCCACACACACAGTTACAGTCTCACACTGGGGGCTCCCTATAGCCGTGTGCGCTAATTGCCCCCCCGAAGGGTCTCATTATGCAAAGCTCTGCCAGCGGGCAGGATGCCTGCATGCCCCCCCCCCCCCCGCGGCTACCCTGCCGCGGGGGAGGGCGAGCAGTGACCTCGCTGAGTCTCAACACTTTCTCAGGAGGATTCCGCTGCTACATCGGGACGCTTGGCCGGTTCCGTGAATACAAACCGCCTGGTTTCACACAGTGCGGGAGGAAATCGGAGCATCCGTTGAACATCAACCAGGCATAGAAGGGGCCGAAACAGACGGGGCGAGGAACCCACCTACCGCACTGCCACCTACCTGGCCGCTTTGCAGAGCAGCGGGATATCTTTCACGAACCCCCAGGTGAACCGCCAACCCTTGCTACAATGCGCCGGGCCGGCTCAATCAGGATACCTTCTCTATATTCAAGAAATCCCCTTCGCTACCAGGGACGGTAATGGCTAATACAAGATTGGACTGCGTTACACATTCCCACAAAAATTCTGGACACAACAGTGAACGTAAGATCATTTCAATGTTTACACGTCAATATAACACGTGACGTTTGTCTTCAGTACTCTGTACGGCAGTTCCCATAAAAAAAGGCTGATTGTGTCAGTGTGCCCTTGCCGGGTAAATTCAGGTTCACACCATGCGTCCATAATAAAGGTTTTTTGGGTTAGATCACGTAAGTATGAATGTGTCGCAACCCTCCACCACCCGACACGGCCAATCAGTAAGAAATGTGTCACGTTAACAAAACGCCAATTCGTTACTTCTTCAGCCCACCGGTGTGTTTGAAGAGCGAATCCACAACATTTATAATTTGAGTACGATTCACTCTTCAAACACACCGGTGTGACCTAAATTCGAAGTAAGACCATTGTGTGATCACCCCCACGGAGTAGCCAGGGCTATTCGACTCATTTTGCAGCGGTTTTAACCTTTTGGGTCTCATCAGCAAAATTCGGAGTCAGGCCGGTTTATTGAATAGAGATGGTCGAACCTGTTTAGAATTTGCCTGCTTTAGAAAATGCCGTGAAACAAGTCTGGAAGGCTCATAGGCTGAAGGACTGAAATAACGTTTTATTAGACAATGATCTTATAATTTTACCCGTAATGCTTTGCGGCAGCACAACATCATCAACAGCCATGACCATTCCACTCCTAAATGGACTCTCCAAGCCATCGCCATCTCGCATGGCCTTGCGATGATCAACACACCTAGCAGCTGCACACACGGCAAATTTCATCGCTCAATCGCTGGGCAGGTGGCTCTGGTTGTGTTTGAAATCCGAGGTAATTATTGGGTCACACGGGTCACACCGCACCTGCACCGCACCTTGCACACCACACTGGCAAGCACCTCCAGCCGTAGACAAACAACTCATTTGACAACTCACCCGACTTTGTACATGACACCCAACTATCTGACCTGTCTGCGTTTAAAGTTACACACCCACGCAGGCCATGTGTTGTTCATGAGGAGCGCCCTTTATTCTTTCACGGAGAGTCAGGTGGAAGCGTTGAAGGAAAGGGAACCCATGGCAGGTGACACGTGAGCAGGGCACATCCTGAGAGAGCTCATCAGGCGGCGAGGCGTGACAGGGAAGGTGAGGATGTCCGTACAGAGCGGAAAGAGGAGGCGGAACAAACCGACATCAACACCGAGAAGCGAACACAAAAAGTGGAAATGGGTCCTAACCAAGTGCCGCTTGGTTAGAGGTAGGGGCTTTGGTTTAATGAGGGCTTTACTACCAGCTGATTGGTTAGTTGGTTTGGGCTTTGGATAAGGCGAGTACTAGTGACTGGAATGCTGATTAGTTATGATGGTTAAACGAATAGTTAGTGGGAGGGCTGGAGCTAGTGGCTGGTTGACTTTGGTTCGGGATTGTACTCGTGGCTGATTCGCTAGTTAGGGATCGTACTAGTGACTGGATGGTTAACGCCAGTGGAGGCTGGTGCGAGTGGTTCGTTGGATAGTTGGTTAGGATCCGTGGGAGGGCCATTACTAGTGGCTGGCTGACTAGTTAGGGTTAGATGCCGTGTTTGGTTGGCGAGTGTACTCTACCCCAATCCTGCTTGTTCCTCTCCGCTCCCTCTGGCGTCTCCTGCCGGACCTCCTGCGCCTCTATCGAAATCTCAACGCACTGCCTGCCACTAGGGGGGCCTCAACATTGCGAAAGACGATATGGCATTGTGGATAGCAAGGACTTAACAATACAAGCACGTTTCTCCAAACACCCAATCCTGCCTTCTGTCAAGGGGACGGGCTAAACATGCAATCTGTCACGAAAATGTCATCAGCGGTCGGGCACAGTGACGTGGAGCAGCTGATATGTGAAACATACAAATCATACTTTAACCTTTGAAAGGGAGCAAGGTATATGACGTTTTTTTTTTCGGGTCAAGATGTTGCATGGCTGTCTTATTCATGAGTTTGGACTAGTTTTATACAGAATAATTTGCTTGTGGCTACTTTGTGTCAGGGCACTTGGAAACACGAGACGCAGAAGGGTTTACACGATAGTAAAGTTACTGAGGGTACAGGTCACGAGGTCACAAGCTGATGGTGTTCCCAGGGCTCCATGTGGTGAAGCCTTTGAATGACATCCCTTGTCGTGCAATGCCAGCGATGCAGGGGGCTACATTGGGCCACTCTTGCACCCAAACACGAGCTCATTAGACATTCTGCGGAGGGCCCCGAATGTTGGGAGTCACTTCACCGTGATGTGTGCTTGACGCGTTGAATCAAACAGAGTTCTCGGCACTATAATTTGCTGGTGGAATGAAACAAACAATTTGGATAATCACACCGACAGCAAGATTGCAGCAATTTCCGTAACAAAGAGAAAACAATTCTGGCTCAACATAAAACTCAGCATGTTGGGTAAGAAATATAGATTGTATTTATTGAAATGGTTAAAAGTTTATATGTGAGAGAGTGAATAATAACCACCCTCCATCTTGAGAATACAAGACATACAGCACGTCGCAAATAAGCAACGTGACAGTTTTGAATAAAAAATAAATACCTGTGTATAAAGACTGGCACAGACGCGCATGCAAGCACCAACTTGCAAATTTATCAACGAGTTGACAAGCGGAGATCCAAATGAGGGCTGACGCCTTTTTAAAAAGGGGACAAATAGATGGGCACCACAGTTGCCAATTTTAGAACATTATGACAAATGGGAATTTACGCAGGTGTCATTTCAGATTGGGGCCTGCCACTTTCAATTACAATGACAGGGATAAACGTTTCTCCTGTGTTAAGGTTGGCTATAAAATGTAGTGACATATGTACGTTCTTAAAATGCATATAAAAATTGTAATTTACAAGTTCATTGTCAATCGACTGCGGGATGGCCTCCCCATAATGTTGTCAGTTGTTTGACCATACTTCACCATGCTGGTCAGTGCCAGTTGGTGAAGGGAGCAAGCCCAGGATCAGTTGAGATATCAATCTCCACCGATGCGAAACATTGCTGGGAATGGAACTTCGGTCGCCAGGCTCGCAGCGCAGTACAAACAATGAGTGTGCCACTTCTCCACCGCGTAGCTTTCACGATATATATATGTATTACAGATGTGAAATTAAAGTAAAAATGTGAACAGGTACGTCTGCATACAATGTAAAAAATAAAAGTACCAATCTCCTCGACCTACTGGAGTCCATGTGCTCAGACCAGATATTCAACCCATCGTTCCCACCTGAGGAGGCATCAACTTCAGCGGTTCATGAAATGTATGCAGCCACTCGGCGAATTACGTGATAACCATTTGAAATGAGTGGGGTTATCAACGCATCCACTCTTAGTGGCCATCCAAACAAATTGATACTAAAGTTTTGCTCAATTAGATGGTACCAATTTCCGCTCTGGCCCACGGACTACAGGTTAGCTGCATTAAGTAATCTCGTGTCGTTTATATTTGTTGATATTCGGAGGGGGGTGCCACAGCAGTGCCCACGCATGCATTTGCACAAAACTGTAAAACCGCTTGTTCTACTTAACTGCTGTCACTGCGCAATTCCGTTACTAGCCATTTAATTTCAAAGTTAAATTTGCATAGATGTTTTTTCTTTGTGTCTCCATAATTAGCTACAAGGTTCATACACGCGTGACCATCGCAGCTGGCTTCATGGTTTACACATCAGCAGACGGCACCTCTGAGCACAGTGGACTCAAAGAGCCTTGGCTAAAGCCGCAATGCTGGGATAGGTCATGAACACTGTGCAATTCCCACCTTTTGACCACAACGTCAACTCTTCCATTACCGGATATGACAAACCAAACGCATAATTTATTAGCCAGACAAATGTGCAAGCGTCAAATGTGCCTGTGAAATCCATTCACTCAAATGTCCTGCTAACGAGAGTTACTGCCGGTACCTCCCCTTTTTAAAACGTCCTCTTGCAAAGGTGGACCATTAAAACATGAGACTGCAGGGGCATCCAAGTCAATGCGTCCTGTGTCTGTTTTAAAATGCTATTTGGTAGCAAGATTGCATCAGGATATCTGGGAATATGGCTTACATGAATACGAAACTTAGAAGCAGAGCACGATTAAATATATAAAAAATGCTATTTCTAACCTATAATTTTCGCCGGGGCTACAGAAGATTCTCATGATTTTACCGTGTGTTGTGTGCGTACAAAAAAACAGCAACTTGGCACTCTTATCGTGCATGGCAGAGAGTACACACAAGTGGAGCCACACAATTATAGCATAACAGAAAAACGAAAGACTGTGGGCCGAGTGGAGTGTTTAACCGCTGCACTGCAGTCAACATAACGTGTCTTTACAGATGTAGGCCAGCGTGCATCTTTTGCCGAACGCTTGAGATGAAAAGCAAAGCAAATGTGGACAGATTTCCCAGTGATGTTCACACATGGCAGTGCTCGCAAATATGAAAATTGTTTTCACTCTTCAGTTTGTCAACACCCCCGGGGGACATGATTCTGAGCTGCGCGCGCGCGTAAACATCAGGGCAAAAATAAAAGCGATCACAGAAACACAGACGCTTCTTTGACTGCTGAGTTCCCAGGTAGTCTTACAAAAACCGTACAGAAGCAAACGTTTTGATGAGAAATGTCGCGTTACTACACTTGCCGACAGTGCGCCAACCCACGTCGTTCGGCACGTGGTCTCTGTACCTGCTATCATTATGTATTAAACCATAATGACAAATACGGTCTCGGAATTTTTTTTTATAGAGAATCACAGTTCAGAGTGTCACAATTGCACCCCGTGTTTTCTGTATATATAGATAATCGTTGGCATCTATTTTAAACTTTTGAAATGTCAGTTTTTAAACTTTTATACTATGTAAGCTTCACAACTCATTCCGTTGTGGTCTGTAAGACACAAGAAGCTCACCTAGGTACATTTGCGAAGGTTACACAGATATCTCTTTTTAAGCACTTAAATAATCTGTATAGAAGTATATATTTTCATATTGCATATAAGAACACCACAGAAAGCAGATGAATAAAATACTATATTTGCAGTGATTAAAAATAATAATATCAAGTTGTAAGGCTGCAAAAATGGCCTTAGAAGCAGTCACTTGTTGAGTTTGGTACCATCAATGTCAAGCTACGTACAACACATTGAACTCCCCTTAAGTTACATTTAAAAAAGGAAATATTACGTGTAACACTGTCTTTCCTGGCTGACAAGGTTACTCACAAAATATGATCTTTGTGGATACATTTTACATATCTTAGCAATCTACTGTAAATTACTCTACCAATAATGACAGCTTATCGTACAGAATATAAACTTTGCTAATATGGAGGTGCTTACATGGTTAGTCGCTGAAAGGATGTTTAATAGTATAATTTAATTGTTTCCTTAACCATTTTAAGACCCAGCGCCTAAACTGAAAACGTTGCTCCTTAGGTGACCCCCCCCCCCCCCCCGCCAAATGACGACAGAACCCCAGCATCCATCCTCACCATCGCTGCCCTCATCACGCAGAGGTCAACGCCATTGCTGTGAGGTCCGAGCACTTGCGTGACCACGCCTCGACCACACCTCGCAATCGTCTCAAAGCAGTGAGGATGAGTGGCCAGGCGACGATGTGCACAGAGCGCGACGAGCAGTCAGGGCGCACCGACACCGTTACGCGATAAAAATTGGAATTAAAAACAATCCCACCGCAAGCGGCAACCGCAGTCAGGTTTGGCTGTGTAGTGTAAACTTAACGATTATTAATTCATGCCAGAGCTGGAGGAAGAAAAAAATCAACTGACTCCTTGCTGCAAGCGTGGGCCAAGTGTTTTTTCTCTCTTCGGTAATTCATAGGTTGTTATCGTGGCCCTAACATTCGACGTTACGATTACATCAACACGGTGGAGGGGGAAGGAGGTGGGTGGTTCATCAGTAACGAGTTGCACCTGAGACACAATGCAGAGAAGCAGCACCCCCACACCACGCTGGCACGGCAAATCCCCGCCCCCCAGCAGCAGAGTTATTTCTATCTCTGCGCACACAGGGCGCTGCTGCTGCTGCTGCTCCTTCAGAAACGCATCGCGATCACACTCCGTCTGGCTCCTTCAATCATTGCCCACGCGCCCGGTAAAGAAAACCCAGCCACTGATTGAATGAATTAATAAAACATTGCCCCTCTCCCCAACACCCATCACTCTAAAAAACGAACGTGTCGCTATTATTCGTTGTCCAGGTGTGGAGCGTTGGGTGACGTTGACGCGTACTCCATGAACATGTCATCGTCCGACAGCATGCTCTGTAGCGGAAATAAAACAGAGTCCAGTCACAATGCTCGCAAAGGGTAAGGCCATGCTGTACACGTTGCACTCTCTCGTCGCACTTAATGTTTACGTATACCTGCGGCTCTGTGAAATGGCCCTCTTTTCATTGTATAATTGCATCACCGCACCCATGTGTAACGGTATTAGATTCAGTTTTCCTAGGAAATTAAACGTAATAATGATCAAACTTGATTTGGTGCTTTCGTGACTGCAGGAATTACTCTTTGGTTCTTTCGGTAAAGTCCACGTAGAAAGAGAAAATAATAAATTAAATAATAGCATACGACGTTTTGATTGCAACACAAGCAATCATCATCAGGTACAAATGGAAGAGAAAACAAACCCAGTAAACTTAGAAATATAATGCAATACAACACAGATAGTCGGCTAACATAACAGCCAACACCCTACCTGGTTGATTGCGTTCTTCCAAAGATTGCTAAATTTGAGAGAGAGACAAAACACAGAACCGGAGACACACAGACAGACACACAAGCAGAGAGAGATAACACAGAGACACAGAGAGAGACACACACACACACATAGAGAGAGATAGCACAGAGACACACAGAGAGAGACACACAGAGAGAGACACACACAGAGAGAGAGAGAGACACACACACATAGGCACACAGAGAAAATGATTTAATTTATTACGTGTTTTTTTCTACGTGACTTTACCGAAAGAACCAAAGAGTAATTCCTGCAGTCACGAAAGCTCCAAATCAAGTTTGAATCGCCTCTACGGGGAGGTTTTAAGTTTGTTTTCTCTCTCTCTGTGTCTCTGTGTTGTCTCACTCTGCTTGTGTCTGTCTTTGTGTCTCCGTGTCTGTGTCTTGTCTCTCTCTTAAATGTATCACTTAACTTCTAATTTAGCAATCTTTAGAAGAACGTAATCAACCAGGCTATGCATTAATTGTGTGTTAACCGACTCTGTGTTGCATTGCATTACATTTCCAAATTTGACTAAGTTTGTTTGATTGAGTGTATTTTCTCCCCTCGTTTTGTTGCTCTTATTTCCTGCAGCTACGAAGGCTCCAAGTCTCTCATTGACATGCTAATTTCTCTACCCCCCCCTCTATCTCTCTGCCCCCCTCTCTCTCTATTTAAGGCCTCGACACAGAGGCGTTGTTTCTCTGTGTGCCTATGTGTGTGTCTCTTTCGGTGTCTCTATGTGTGTCTCTGTGTTATCTCTCTCGGCTTGTGTCTGTCTATGTGTCTCCGGTTCTGTGTTTTGTCTCTCTCGTAGATTTAGCATTCTTTGGAAGAACGTAATCAACCAGGTAGGGCATTGACTTATGTTAGCCGACTATCTGTGTTGTATTGCATTATATTTTTAAGTTTACTAGGTTTGTTTTCTCTTCCATTTGTACCTGATGATGATTGCTTGTGTTGCAATCGAAACGTCGTATGCTATTATTTAATTGATTAATTTCTCTTTCTACGTGACTTTACCGAAAGAACCAAAGCATAATAATGATGTTAAAGGCTCCAAATACATTGCTTTACAAATTAGTTGTATGCTGTGTCTAAATGTTTGTTTTTATCACTTCCAACGTTAAAACGATATCTACAGTCAACTCTGGATTATTATCTGGGGCAATGGTGGGAAAAAAAAGTGACCCAGATGAAGCAAAATCACAGATATTGCAAAACACATGTAAATCAGGCTTAAAAACATATCGATTGCCTACCTACACAGAATATTCTTGACAAATTTGTTGAGTTAATTTGTTACATCGAATGGGTGTGAAGACATTCATATGGCGTGTTTTATATTGTTATCGTTTACTTGGTGACGTGCCGGGAGTCGTGCGATTACCGTGGCACACGTGGAGATACTATGACTCTCCAATGTGTTTTCTGGTTGTACCGTGTGTGCTCATCTGATACGATGTCCAACGTTTCGCAACACGGGCTGTGAGCTTCTTCGAAAGAAACGCTTCTTGAGGGAAAAAAATAATCCTTCAGAAACTCCCAGCGTATGGAGCGAAACGTTGGACATAGTGCACGACCCAGAGACACAGCAACACAACCGCGAAAAGCTACTCGGTTTAAACAAATATAAATGTATTGGCACGTTAGGTAAATCCGCAACCCGGATAATCCGACCGTGGGTGATCAAGATTGAACTGTTCTTGTGCAATGTAAAAGCCCACCGTCAGATTGTTGATGCCCTCTGAGAAGGCTCCGATCTGGCGCACGGTGCCCTCAGAGTCCTCCATCTGCTAGGGAGCACCACAGCCACCACACACAGAGCCGTGCGCACATGCAGGGATGAAGAAGTCGGCACCATCTCAGGACACCGCAACATCCCACGCCAAAGACAGCAAACTTCAAAGTGAGGGTGCTGCGGTACATGCTTTTTCAAAACCAAATTGTGATTATTAAAGAACAGAAACATTTGTACAGTTCATGAAACCCATTTATAGGTTGCTTAAACAAACTTATGAGATGAAAATGTCATGGGGATAATCTATTCTTATGTTCTTTGCACTTTTACTAGAAATATTAAATATACAGGACAACACTTCTCAAACTCCGGCCCTCGTGACGCAGATTTCCATAATCCTAGAAAGGCGCACTGTGGGGGAAGTCACGAGAATTGCCGTTCGGGAAAGGCTGGCAGCGACGACGTTCAACGGAGTAAGACACAGGGGGCAAGGGGTCGTCGTCTCAAGCTATCGTGCCGACCTGCTCCAGCCGGTCGAGGTCATCGTCGTCCTGGAAGCCGGACCGCCCGCCGCCGGCCTGCATCCGGTAACTGGAGGCGGCGGAGAAGCCTGGCTGGGAGGCCAGGCCACCGGGCCGGCAGAGCTCCATGGGGCACACGTAGTCCTCTGCGTCCTCTTGCTTCCGTCGCCTCAGAGAGCCGAATCCCGAGATCCCCAGAGGAAGCTTCTTGGGCTGACACGGATAACAGTGCGAGACGTACAAGGTGTAGTAAACACGTGCGTTGGCATTCGCCCAGTTGCGTAAACTAGAGATGTTCTTCTTCTATACAAGGATTTTCTCCATCTGCTTCTGTTCTGTCTCTTCTCCCGTCACATCCACTGTCCTCATATCTTCACCACATCCTCCCATCTCACCATAAGGTCCCCTACCCCTTCTGCCCCGCACCAGAATCTCCGCAGCGCTTTGAGTCACTGATACATATAAGTGCCATATAAATACAAAACAAATGATTATCTCAGCATTTTCATCTCTGTCCTTTCACACCCTTCCTTCCTTGTTTCTTTCTTCTTGCCCACGTCCGTCTCTGTACTATATTACGTCACCAGACTTGCACCATAAGTCATCAAAGTCCACCACCGTAGGAGCTGATGCATTACGATGGCATGGACGATAACGACGGCTCACCTTCACCTTGGCCGTGGCGGTGAGCGGTATGTGGTTGGGCACCTCAAGCGCCTCCTGCTTATGGCGGCGAGAGTCGGGTCCGACCAGGAGGTCGAAGTGTGTGGCCAAGTGGCGTCGTAGCAGCGTCTTGTTGGGCGGGATGTTGAGCAGCAGGGCCAGGGTCTCCACCGTGAAACGTGGCTCCAGTACCTATTGAGGCAGTGGCACGTGAAGATCCCTCGAATATCCTTGGCGACCGGCGGTAGTCAAAAACCTCCCAACACGAGCAGCAACGCGCAAAAATCCTCAACAGGCCGAGAGCCACGAGACGCGTGACTTTACAGTCCATTCTCTAGGCCCGCATGCGCCGGGTGGCTTTGGAGTTCTGAATTTCGAAATGTACGCGGAAGTATATGTGTATGTTGAACTTCTTTCGCACCGTACGTAGCCCACTGTGCTAATCGAAGGTGCGAGAGTAGCTGTGTTCATATCGCAGCATACTAACCACTATGCCGGCACTCCCACGCCTACTAAAGTAATACACGGATGCTCATCGTAGTGTTCTTCATCTATGGCAACTATTCATATGCTAATTGAAAAAGTGGTCATGAGAGAACATGGGTAACATTTTATTTTTATCAAGCACCAAGGTTTAAAGTGCATTATCCAACTCTTATTCACTCTGTGTCTGTATTTATCCGCAATGAAGCAGGGCCATTGCCTGAAACGTCACCTTCTAAATATTGTTCCTTTAACGGCCGCAGTGCTATTGACAAATGTGTATTTTTTTACTGTTGTAATTTCTACATGAAGAAGTCATCACGGTCGATGATGTTGACGTCATAGCTTCCTACCATCTGCTATACCCTGCAAGCAGTCAACAGTCAACACCTAACTGCAAAATGTCACTGTTACAGTCTCATCATCACCACCACCAGCTGGCTTTAGGTCTTCCGCTTATTCATATATAAGCACGTACATATCGCATATTTTTATACACGCACGTGCTAACTGTTCAAACGTTTCTAGTTTATTGTGGTCAATAGTACCTGTTTAATAATTAATTTTCAGTGCCTCAGTCATGGACATTTATGTCCCTGAAATATCACTCGTGTTATAATTGCATTATTATGAACCAGGTGAGAACTTAAGAAACGAGGATTGAAGTATTGTAAAGAGCGACATTGGTTTGTAAAATGACGAAAGCAAAGCAATGAAAAAATAGTACAGCAATGAAGGAAATAGAAACTAGAGTAGGGAAAAACAACAACCGTGTAACGTGAGAAGTCAACAATATTGTCACAAAACACAAATCAATAATTTCCCTGTAGAGTTGGTCAGCTCGCGCAAATGACGCTTTCGACTTGTCGAGTAGAATCGCAAATGAAGTTATAGAAACCGTAAACAGATGTAGGGGGTGACCATTGTGCTAACGCGTAAACGGACATGGCTGCACGGGTGGAACGCGCAACGGGCGAGCTGGAGCAGCGCTGGTGCCACGCCGGCGCCGCACGAATGCCGCACCGGCGCAGCGCTGGTGCAGAGCTAGCACCGCACTGGTGCTGCGCAGCTTACCAGCAGCCCGCCGTGCACGCCGCTGCCACGCAGATTGGGCGCGTACTCCGCCAGGTCGGCCGAGCGGAGCCACTCCATCACACGGTGGTTCGTCCACTGCGTCACCTCAGCGGGTGTCACGTTCCCCTGCTCACACGCACACACCCACGCGAGTAAACGACAAACATGGAGGTCCACGTGAGACTTGTCAACACCAACAACAATAATAATTATGTATAATCCACAATTGCTGTTTTAGTAAACAAATTAATGCCCGAATTGAACAATAACCCAATGATATTGATGAAAACAACCTTTACCCGAGTTACTAATCACAAAGAGAATGCTCTCATTATAATTCAGGAACATTAAAAAACAAGAACCATCATGATACAATGGAGGCCATCTGCTATGAACCCTGCCAGCTGCAGAGCTGTCCGTGCTTGTTTATCATCAGCCATTGCCAATCCATTGCTAGATGATATCCTCCTCACTCCGTCACTATCTCTCAGTCCACGTAACATCTGCGCACGCACCGATCTAATTGCTCCGTCTCTGTGGTGGACGTACTCTCAGACGCGTTCCCTCCATTGGCTATCACTGCGGTATTTAGATACACACACACTCCTTACAGCCTCTTTATCAATTCACCGCTGGATGAAGGCTTCTCCTCTATGCCATGGCAGGCAGGACGGATGTTTGATCGTTATTCACCGCACTGTTCGCGGCCAACGATGTTAGCCGTGGCCGTAAATCGAACTCGGTCACAAAGTTCATCGCGTGGTGTGGCTACCACTGTACCAACGCACAGCCTGCTAAATATTACTCCAGATGAAATAACAAAAGGGCCCTTTGGGGGTTTAACCTCTGACCTCGTCGGAGGGCCGTCGGCGCAGGCAGTTGGGGTGGAACTTGTTCATGCGCAGCACCTGGATGGCGCGCTTGTAGCTCAGGTGGTGGAGCAGGCTCGTCACCTTCAGTGACAGGAGGTCGTCCTGGGTGGAGGCGCGTGCGGGCAATGGCGGAGAGGTAGGAGGGACAGGTTGCAGAGGGAGAAAATCAGCAAGCGAAACTAAAAAATGTAAACGCATTAATCGTGCGCCTCCGTTTAATATTTTGCGTAAAAACCCCACAATCTCAGATTTTTTACTTAGCTTTCATTCCATAGTTTATGTTGGCAAGTACATGTACGGCCCTTTTGTCAGTCCACTGCTGGATGACGGTCTCCGCATTCTGTGCGGACCGTGGGGGTAATTTGACCGCATGTTACCACGCTGGTCACTGCCAGCTGGTGTAACACGGGGAGCGCAGCACGAAGGAGCATATTACACGCCAAATAATGTTGCTGCACTGCCCTCTACTGCCCACCTTGTAGCCTCGCAGCTGCTTATGACAGCCTGGGATACGTGATGGTCGCCCACGCAAGTAATATGCAGGCTTAAAACCTGCTTAGCTTCGGTGATACGTTGCCAAATATGGTCTGTCGATATTTATTTCTTGAAACATCCAAAACTTTTATTGATACAACAACCACAGACAAAGAGCTGCACGTGGCGATTAAATACAGGAAGTGGGAGAAGCAAGCGACTATTACCTTGAGAGTCTCTGTGGCCACGCAAGCGAGATTAGGAGAGAAAGAATGTAGAGAATAAGAAAAGTGAACAGCAACAGAGATCTGGTACATAAGTGATGACCTCCAGGCCGGCCATCGTCCATGACCTTTCTAGAAATTACCTGTGTTTGTATAAACCTCTCCAAGTTCAAGGGGGCTGAGACTGTTTGTCAAACGAAGAAGTTGCTGATGTATAATCAAGCACACAGTGGCATTTAAGCTATCCCTAATATGGAACAACTAAACGTCACCTTTCGTCGTTGGTTAAGAACAAAAATAAAGGATTTAGAGTAAAGGGAAAAAAGGAGATCCCAGCAACGACGAGAAATATTCGTGAAAAAGTTTCAATTCCGACTTGAGAGTTGGTTAGCTGGAGCAAACTTCTCGGATTCCCTTTATCAAAAAAGTGTACACAATCACAGCCAGTCGAGTAAACATTAATACACAATGCCTTTATTATCTACGGCTTTTTAGATTACTCCAAAATGGTTTAAGCCAACATAGTCTTGCAGGTGCACAGCCATTGAAGGTCGGACGGAGGCGTGCGTGGTCTCTGCTGTCTGCACGGACCCCTTACCACCGTCAGGTAGTGCAGCATGCGCCCGTCCACTCGCCCTTCGTTAAACTGGTCCTTGTACTGTGGCAAGCCGATGTCATCCAGCCACCCTGCAGGGGCACGGAGAACATCAAACAAAGATCCCCCCTCGCTGAGCTATTCACACTGTCGGGGCTCGTGCTATTCACGAGCAACGGGCTGCGTATTGTTCAGCACAATGCCCATTGTTTCACTTAACGTGTTGGGACATTCTTCGGGAATTTAACTGAAGTAGCTCCCAGCACATGCAGTGATACGACAGCTACCATGCCGAACAATGAGCGGTACGATCCGAAAATCCATCGGAGAGCTGTACAGGGCAACCGTGAAAACCCTTGCAGTCGTACCGATTAAAGCCATCAAGGCTCACGAAGGGGGCGTGGCCAACACCATGCCCAGCCACCTTTGTCTCCCCAGTTATTACGTTCACACAACGCACCAGGTATCTACTTAAGGCCGAGTCGACCCAGGCGAATCGCAACACCGGTACAGATAATGGTCACAGATGTTGGTCGTGGCTGGGAATCGAACTCGGGTCACTGGGTTCGTAGCACAGTAGACGAAGCGCTATGCCCACTGCTCCACAACATAAACAGCAGCCGCTCCATCGCCACCACGGGAAAAAAAAACCTCTGCACTGCTGCCACCCAGTGGGGAGCGCAAGCGTCGCCATGAATCAACCTGACACGAGGCTGTCGCAACGAGGGTGCTTCTTACGGTGCGGTCCAATCATTGCCAAGGTGCCCTCTCCTGGACAGCTTAGAAATATTACAGATGGCAGCAATGTCCCCCAGACGATGGAAAGCAGGAGCCACACCCGGGCGTGTTATATGTTCCTGTTTGAATAGTTGGAAGAATCCATAGTTTATCCCAGGCAAGTGCCCTTCCTCAAAATAGCTTAACCCAGGCACTGTCCCCTCTGGAATAGGTATAAATTATTCACGATTAATTACTGTGCAGTTAATAGTCAATTACCAAGCGACAAAGCCACTTTGTCATCAGCGTGATGGGGTCTGCATGTAAATTGCGAGAACACGTGGTGCGTAGTGGAATAGTCTGTTCTCCTAGAAGGCTTTGTGTTTTCATATTGGAAATACCGCGATGAATGTATTGGGGAACACATTTTTTTTATAACTCGGATGCGAATTGGATATAATGCGACCGAGTGAACGGAACTACGTCGCGCGAGTAGGAATAAGCGGTCGTACGGCTGCCTCGGCATAGCATCACACAAAGCGCGATGCTGCTGGATGCTTCTACAAGCTACCTACGACTCTTTGTTCACCCTGCATATGCATCTCATGTGTTATCACGGACTGTGCTTTACCTTATATTACATATAATTTATTATGCGATTTATCTATAGCGCGGTGCTCTTCAGGAGCGCAACGACTACCGCGTTATAGGAGAACGGACTTTTCGAGCAGCAGACCGGAGCAAAACAACGCAAACGTCCGCTGAACCAGCCTCCGCCACCTCCCTCAAGCGCTGGCTGCCCCCCCTCAAAGGGCTTTGTTCCTCCTCGTGCCGACGGGCGGGCGACTCACGCGTGACCCAGTTGTAGTCGAGTTCGCCCTTGGAGTTCTCCTCCTCCGAGCCCATTGCCTGCAGGGCCAGCTGCAGCTTCTTCTTGTGCAACGAGTGCTTGATGCCCAGCTCCTGCAGAACAGACACTAGCTGTGACGGCAGCTGGGCTTGCACAGATGACCATTTATGTGCGCTCAAATACCACCTTCCCAGTGGCACATCTCAGCTGAGCATATTGTCATTCCAATTTGATTCTGTCAAAGTTCGAGTTTATATGTCGACCCACATGAGAACTCAAAGAGAACAGGATAGTTTAATTTGCCCGAGTGACCCGAGTCACCGAAGTGACGCAAGCTAAAACAAAGTACAGCAATGAAGCGAATAGAAAGCAGCAAAAAACTGCATCACGTGAGAAATCGAAAATATTGCACAAACACAAAATCAATGTCGAGCAACACATTCCCTGTAGTGTAAAATCAGTTCGGGCAGACAATTTTTAGACCATAATACAATTACCATGAAGTTCCGACAATTACAATTCAGTTACGCCGCTGACAGATAACACCTGCCTACGGCGCCACGTGCGACTCTTGACGCGCGAGTCGGCGGGCGTGCTCACCTTGTCCAGGTCGTGTGCGGTGGCGCGGAGCATCGTCTGCCCGGAGGTGACCCACTGGCGCGCCATGCCCACGTACATGCCCAGGCCTTGCTCGTGAAGCCAGTTGCACACCTGGTCCGTTGACCACTTGGCAAATGGCGCATCCAGGTCGCTGGCAACGAAAACAAAACGGCCGCCGGTGAGCGAGCGCATGCCACGGTGGCGAAATGTTAACCAACTCGTCTCCTGGTGTACAGGTTCGATCCCAACTTTGACGCCCGTATATTTGGAGTTGGCATGTTCTCCACGTGGTCATGTGGATTCCTGTCTGGGTCCTCTGGTGTTTTCATCCAGACTTAGAAACATGCTTTTAGAGTATTTAGCTGCTATAAAGTTCTACATGATAAGCCACTTTGCTGAGCTATCATTTGTGGCCAGGTTGCTTCTGAAGAAGAGCTGTGTAGCTCAGTGGACCTTACCTGGTAAATTTAAAAAATAGTTACATTTAGTATTTTTGAGTGCTGCACCTCGCGTGAAAAAACCCCACAAGAGCGTCGCTTGTGATGGAGGCCATGGCTAAGCAGAGACAACAAAGGAGCGCTTCCGTTTCAGTTGTATCTCATTCCCCCGACGGCAACATGGCTGAAAGGTAAGGGTTCTTTGTGTTTTTGGGTTGCTTCCGTAAAGGTTGAATTGTTTGTATGCATGAAGAACTCCTTTCGCACCGTACGGAGCCAACCGCGCTAATCGGAGTGGCGTATTGCCTCTCCATGGTAAATCTGCACAATGCACAAAGGTGCATTTGTTGACTTGTTGTCGGCTTCATTTTAATTGCTTACAAAGCTGCAGACCCTGCCCCCGCATAGCCTTATAAAAATAATTCCCTTTAAGAGGTGGCCCGGTGGCTTAAGAGGTCAAAGTGTTCAGCAGGCACCGCTGAGATCCTGGCTTTGAATCCAGGGAGCTGCCTCTAACTAAAATCGGTTGTTGACTGCAGTTGATGGTCACAGCCCAGCCACTAATGACTGCACAAATAAAACCCATCACATTAAATTTTGTTCTGAAATTAATTTGGATACATTCCAGTTCTGAGAATTAAAATGCAATTGATAGTCATGTGACGGACACTACTCCTATGGTCTCTGTGCAGGCTAGAGGTCACTTGAGGGTCTCTCAAAGGTAGCTCTGTGATGTCCGCTTCCGTGGGCTGTAACCATAACGATGGGATATACTGCACTGCGAGAGAACCGTAAGGATTCTTCTTTCTCGTGGCATGAAGCAGGTCGTACAAATCTGGATAAAACTGTGGGAAAAATCGTCCGTGCCAAGACGCTTCACCTGGAGCCCCCACGGAGGTCACGTGACCAGCCCAGCCGCGGGTCGGCCGTGGCTCTCAGCCCCCCTCTTCGGAACTCCTCCTCGCGCTCCTCCTCGGGGTTTAAGTTCGTCGACTGGCTCCTCTTCAGCCTTTGCGAGCAGGTGGTGAGCAAATGGCAAGGATGGATGGAGAGCAAGGGGGAGGGTGAGAGTGTTTAAAGGGAGGAGGTTGGGGGCAGGGCGGGTGGTAAGAGAGGCAGGGATCAAGTTTTAACCGCAACATGTGGCAGGAAGATTAAAGGGAGTGATTAGAGTGAAACGTGTTTCCAATACGAATCCACTTTAGGAGGCGCACGTTTTCACCTGCTGCGTATGCACGTGTAGTGTGCCCAACCTCCTGCTGTGATGTGCCGAACGTGCAGCATGGACAGACCATGGCCGGTACTACTACCGATCATGTTGACGATAACTGCATTGCGAATCTTCTGACCACGCCCTCGGGCGTGCTCTTTAACCACTGTAGTGGCTCGGGGCACGCAAAACGAGGAAGTGACGGAGTGGGCATTGTAACGGATGGAAGATTATGTTCTGTTACTGTACAAAACATCGGAGAAAATAATCGGCTAATATCTTGTAACGACTGCAAAGTATTGACCTCGTGAGCAAAAACACTCCCCACTCACATTCCGAAGATTTTTTTGATTCCACGCGACTTCTTCCGAGTCTCGGGCGAGAGCGGAGCGCTGGGAGGGGAGGCGAGCTCCGAGGGACTGAGCCGACCACTTGAGTCCTTGTCCACTTCTGTTCCGCACACGCATACAGCGCCCGTCCGCTCATTCATTAGCAGGCAGCATCAGGCAAGGGTAGCTCAGCGGCTTCCGTAATAGCTTTTAAAGCCCTTATTTTAAAGCACGTCAAATCCCACTCGGCTGTTCCTAGATGTGTAGACAGTTGGATGATTAAGTTACTACTACGGACGGGGCCAGAACTAATAACACGGTTCATTGTTTCAAGCTTACATCTGTCAGGTTGTAAATTATGGATAAGTAGAATTTAGCGAATTGAAAATTTGGCATGAGTTGGAGCAAAACCAATTGCCTTAAACCAATTTGAATACCTTCTGAAAATGATGAGAAATCCATAAGGCAGATTCACGCAAGAGGTGATTGCTAGACAGCAAAAGGAGCAATGGAATTTAATGTTCATGTTCCCATAATGCCTTGGCTTGTTCCGCAACATGACCCCATTGCTCGTAGAACGCACAGAGCCTTGTTTGGATCACCAATCCAAAAGAGTAACAATTATGGCCATGTTATTTTAGACGATGGCAGGCCAAATGAGACAACTGTATACCGGTTTCATCCTTGTTCGTAAACATCGGTACAGTGTAGCCATCATTGCCTGCTGCCGTCTTGTGCCTCGTAGGCTTTGTGCAGAGAGGCCCTCTCCGTGGTCACCACGGGGACAGTTTTGGCACTGGCCATGGACGACAACAATAAACTAACACCGTGTAAGCGATGAGACACAATCGAGTTACTCCAGCCAGGCTTCACAGTAAATCTTTGCGAGGGGGCCATGCACAAACACAGAGACGCTCTCTTGCTCCACGTCCCATCAGGTGACCCGCGCAGGTGGCGTGCACGAGCGACGTACCCAGGTTGGGCGCGCTGGCCGTGCGCTTGCCTCCCTTCACCTTGAAGAACCCACGCCCAAATGAGGCCCTGGGTTTGCGAGCCGCCCCCCCGCTGGCCCCCTCGTCGGCAAGGTGCCGCTCCAGCGCGGGGGAGCTGGGGGAGCTGGGGGGCAGGGTCTGCAGGCGGGACCCTCCTTCCTCCTCCTGCAACGCCTTGTTCTGTGGGTGAGCGAGTGGGAATCGCACGGAACGTCAATGATTTCTGCCGAAGGTGTGTGAGCGCTCGGCGCAGGTAGTGAAAGGGGGGTGTGCCAGTGGCAGGCAGCGGACACGAGAGGCACAGCGGCGAGCTATAGCGTAGCTTTTCGTGGTTGTGATGCCGTTTAGAGTATTTGGCTGCTATCAATTTCCACATGATAAGCTACTTCGTTGAGCTTCTGAAAAATAGCTATTTCGCTCAGTGGGCCTTACCTGGTAAAATAAAAATAATTCTAGATGTGAAGCTTTCGTGACTGCAAGAATTCATACTCTTTGGTTTTATTCGGGTAAGTCACGTAGGTAAAAAAACAAATTAAAATTAAATAAAAGAAAAAATTAAAACACGACGTTTCGGAGGAGGAGGCAACACAAGCTTCCATCTTCAGGTGGAAACAGTCACAGCAAAAAAATCGCTGCACCAAGTGGCGAGGCTTTGGGAACCTCGGGCTTAAATACAGGTTAAGGGAGGAGCCATGTAGGGGGACCTTGGTGGGGTGAGGGCTGAGTTAATCCGTCTTTTGTTGTGTAGAGGGGGGGGGGTGAGTCACTGTGTGTGTGCAATAGAAACGGAACAATAGAAAAAATTCAAGATCGGCAAGAATGTGGATGACACTTTCGTCATTTGGCCACATGGCCTCCCAGCTTTGAACCTTTTCCTGGACCACATCAATTCCAGACACCCTTCCATCAAATTCACCATGGAAGTAGAGAGAGATGGCAAACTATTGTTCCGTTTCTATTGCACACACACAGTGACCCACCCCCCCGCACCCTCTACACAACAAAAGACGGATTAACTCAGCCCTCACCCCACCAAGGTCCCCCTACATGGCTCCTCCCTTAACCTGTATTTAAGCTCGAGGTTCCCAGAGCCTCGCCACTTGGTGCAGCGATTTTTTGCTGTGACTGTTTCCACCTGAAGACGGAAGCTTGTGTTGCCTCCGAAACGTCGTGTTTTAATTTTTTCTTTTATTTAATTTTAATTTGTTTTTTACCTACGTGACTTAACCGAATAAAACCAAAGAGAATAAAAATAAAAATAGTTTACAGTTTAGTTTGTGTGGCTCTCCGATGTGTTTTTCAGTTGCACTGCGTGTTGTTGGGCACGATGTGCGATCCTCTTCACAAACGCTTCCTGAACAACCACTAAACAACAGTTCCTGAAGAAGCTTCCAGCACGTGGAGCAAAAAGTCGGAGATCGTGCCGAACACCACGCGGGAGCATCATGCTGCAGTGAGAGCGTGCTGGTTTGTGTGACAAAATAAACCCACGTAGAAGACTTAGGTGTCCGGGAAATGTGAGAGAGCAATGTCTCTTCGTGTGCGCAAGCTTCGAACAAAATTTGAGCCGTCTGCGCCAATCATTTCAACATTTTTGGCAAGAACCGGCAAGGACATTAACTCGTGACTGTTATTTACGCATGCGCTCACACGCTGTTAATTTAATGGCACAAGCGGTGCTTTTCTAAGAGTGAAAAGCCCCACTTTTGAAACGAAGCTCAGCCACAAACGCACGGTAAGCGAGTTTGCCTTGAAACTTTCCACACGGTTTGTTTTCAGCGATTCTGGCACGCCGACACAAACAGCAATGGCCTCGCAAACACGGGCCCGGCACTCCCCCAATGGTGGGCGGCAGCATGAAGAAGCACCGAATTTCAGGCTCACAAAGGGTTAAAAACAATCCACCAAGCAAAACACAACCATTTGAAGCCGCGTTTCCTCATTAAATCAAGAGAAGCGCCAAGTCGACTGTTAAGGTAAAATTAAACAATGCTCACAAAAAATCTGGCCAATAAAATCTCATCACTGATTTTGGTGAACATTGTTTGTTTTAAATCTGAGAAGCACAAGGCAAAACCTGTTAGAAGCGTATCACTGGGCAGACATAAAACATCTACGAAGTGAATTGACCAGTCAAGCAGCAGACTTGTGTGTGCCTCTAACCTGTATTATCACTTCAAGGCGCTGGGCCAGCTACAGGTAAATAAATCACACACAGACCGCCCACACACAAAGGCAACGGTGAATTCAGGGATCGCGTAGCAGAGGTGCGTGAGCCAACGGCACAGCGGAAAAGTGCGTGAAATGTTCAATAACGTTGAATTACGTGACAACACAAAACATACGCGGCTTTGGTTAATACCGTAAGTTAGGGAACACAAATTAAGGGGCAGCCGTGGTAGAAAGACGTGGAGAAGAGTAGGCATGCACCAGATGCCCTATCTGCGTACACAACGATTAGTGCGAGTTAATATCACGACTGGCGGTCAGGTGGCTCAGCGGGACAGCGAGCGGCTCGCAATCGCAAGTTTGCAGGCATAAATCCTGGTTGGGCGAGGGGGGGTTGACTCGGCCCATCATTCTGCAAGTGTCGATAAAACGAGTACCACTTTGTGGGTAAGTCAACAGCGGTTGTCCTATGGATACAGTCGCCTTTGCCATAGGACTGGGATTTCCGTGATCGCCCCTGCCCTAGGACTGTGGAATTTCCACCACCTGCTCTGCCGGAGGTTGTAAACAAGGAGATGAGTGGCAATGCCACAATGTTCATTTGAGCAGCAGGGAATATCTTTCACTTTTTTTTTATTTTACTCCACGCAAGCAGCACTCGGCACGTTCCAGGAAGGGGACAAGGGCAGAAGAGTGCAGTGCTCGGCGGGGGGCTCATCGGGTAATGCGGGGCAGGCGAACAGAGCTGAAGGAGGGAGGGAGGGCTCCGCTCGCACTACCTCGGCAGGCTCGCGTCCCTTCCGCTCCCACACCACACTCTGTGGGAGGGGGACAGCCGAGAGGCATTCCGGCAAGTGAGACGGAAAAAAACTGAAACCATACTAACACACGTGCGAAACATTAAGACGCGCGGCACAGTACGAGCCTTGTTTGGAAACTTTTCAAGGCCTCTCCTGGCCCCTGGCACGCACGGCCAAACACAGCGACCGACAGTCAACTTTGCGAGACGCCCTTCCCCCCTCGCAGTTCTTTACCGAACTGAACTTCGCTTACTCCGATTGCAGCCATGGTAATTTCGCACAAATCCTCCAGTGCAGATTCATATTTTAAACTTGTGGTTGGCTTGCGTATGAAAATGATAACAAATTTTTACTCAGACCGCATCCATTATTTTTCGTCTCCCCCCTCCTCTTTTCCGAACATAGATGGACTCGTCCATCTGAACAAACTGTCAAATCTCTCTCCGTGGTGCTAACGTTAAAAATAACTGCCACTTTTTTCAAATTTTCTTGTTGTGGTTTTCACACCTGATGATTGCTTGTGTTGCAGTCGAAACGTCGTGATAATTTTATTGTTTTATATTTTTATTATTTTATTGTTTCCCTTCTACGTGACTTTACCGAAAGAACCAAGAATATGAATCCCTGCAGTCACGAAAGCTTTAAATAAAAAAAATGTTTACTCGTTTGAGTTTATTGCTTGTCTACACTCACCATCAACATCAGTCACGACCGATTCACCGCTAAGCGGTTGCAAAATTAACAGCGTGCCGGCGCAGTGACGTATGCAGCGGTATACGTTACGATTCTTACCACATCACAGTCAATGACGTTGCGTGACTGAAGTTGCTTTTAGCCATGAACATCAAACCAACCGTGATCACGTGACCTTATCTATGCAATTAAAAAACACATGCTTCTACATTGAGCGACAGCGTTCCACTACAGCAGCCGATTGGCTGGGTATGGGCTGCACGGCCCCCCACGCCGACCCTTTTTGCCCCCCGCTGACTAAACTTCAGGGAGCACGTGCTTCCTGCCCCTGATGCAATCGGACTTGAACCGCCAAATAGCGTAGCTCACTGCACACAAGTGTACATACTAACACACACACACATACAGGCCACGGGCCAAAACACACACAGCTATAACAGCAGCCCACTGTGTCCCCATGGGAGAGAGGGACAGGGAAAATCTCACCCATGCCCGATTGCTGTTTACACTAGCCACCTACCGCATTTAAACCCACAGCACTCACTGTGAAATATCCCATTTGTGGTGGGTACACCGTAAATTGATTTCGCTCACCCTCTGCTGCATTCCGATTTCATTTTGCTTATAATCTCTCCAAATCAGAAAGTCGAACGGCAGATGTGGCTATCCTCCTCCAGTAGAAGAGAAAAGCTCACAGTATGTCACCAATCTCAAACGGTGAATAACATCTCTATTACGCCTCCAAGAGTGCCACTTATTGATAGCCAGTTGGCACTTTGGGCATTTGTGTGCCTGTGCTCAGAAACAGTGACACCCCTGCCCGCTTCGCTCATTCGCCACTGGCAGTATTTCAGATGTTCACCACAAAAACCGTGCACAGGCTGAGCCACCAATCACGACATGAGCTTATCCCGCATATCGTTGATAAACTCGCCAACATAGCAAGGATACAGCCAAAAAAATCCCGCAGGAAATGCACGCGTACCTTCTCTGCGACGTCTTGTTGGACGTGTTCAGGGCTGCTGGCGGCCTGCCAGTCACGTGACCTTTAACCCGGGGTCATGGAAAACACGGCCACACGCGAATTGAAAGTTGCTTTTGTATGCTGTTGCCTTGCTTTGTACACACGCAGTAAAGACAGCGAGGCAGGGTCGCGGACAGATCTGGAATGCGAACGCAGGCTTCACATGCGACGCCGAGCAAAAGGATAATCTTGACTTGAAGGACAGCAGAACCCAAAAAGTATTCATAAATACTAGCAGGAAACTCTGATGTCGGATATTTCAAAGGCTTGTAATGGTAAAAGGTGCATTATGTAAAATCATTAGAAAGAACGGGGTATAAAATAGCAGTTTGGAAAATGAAACATGTTTAATCAAGGGTGTCAACAACATAAATTATCTGGGTTTTAACTTCACGTGGCTTTAAAAGGCTTTAGGTTTAATGTGGCCACTGCAAATCACCTGGATGCCGGCTGCGGTGCCATCTCCTGCACAGCCTCATCACTATCTTCTCCCTTCTGTGCGTCTCTGATCGTAAGAGAAAAAGCGGCATTAAAAAACAAAAGAAAGCCACTCGCGCAGACCCACCCATGACCGTTCATCATAACCCCAACGTGAACACACACCGGCCAACAGGGGTGCATTGCCACTCTCAGGCACGGGGAGTGTTAACTCATGCCATCACAGCATGGGGGTTTAAACACCTGGACACGGGGTCCCGTGTTGCTTGTTCGCTAGAATGTGATCAATCTTTGAGAAGTTAAAGACCGCCGTTAGATTTTGTCAATTTTCTCTTTTCACTTAAAAAGGGCACAAAACACCGTGGCTAGACTCACGCTTGGAAATGCAACGACAGCCAGGAAGAGGAACACGTCGGTTAGAGAGCAAACGTCAGGTAAGTGACATCGTTCCATTTGTTACGAAATGTATGTGGGCTGGGGCAGGACGTGTCACGGCTACAAGGCATGACGACAGACATATACGGTAAAGCATCATGAAGGAGTACGAGCCAAGGAATGGAACCGTGTCCTAGAGCACGTCTACCAAGGAGATGGAGTGATGAAAGCAGCTCGTGAAACAGGTGCTGGCTGGATCGCTCTATCGAGGGATGTGAAATGGCGGCGGATTGGTGAGGCCTTCATCCAGCAGTGGAATAACCATGGCCAATGCTGATTATATTCAGTTAATCTCACCCATTTTCAGTGGGATAATCCACTGTCTCTACATCATCCGCTTTGATCTGCAGTTGTTGCTCTGGCTCTGTGTCAGCAGGCGGGGCGGCATCTTTCTGAATGCCAAAACTCTCCTGCACAACAAACAAAACCACACCTGCTTAACATGTACAATTTCGACTTATATAGCGTCTAAATACAAATGCACGTCAAGGCACTGACACTTTTCTAAATTGTTTATTTTTCATTAAGAATGCAAATAAGTTGCCAAGTACACCAACGTCCCTTTTCATCAATGCCCAAATTCAAGTGATAACGTTAATTACAGCGGCGCGCGCAGCGAGAGAGATCCCATCGCGGGCAAAACGAGACGCACACTCACCTCGGCCAGGAATTCCTCCGCGTCCATGTTCATCATCTCCGCGCTCAGGTTATCGTCGCTTGAACTGCCCGGCAGTTGCTCAGAAGACCCTGCCCAGGACATAAAAAGACGGCATTTCCATACTATAAGAGCGTCAGGGATTTTCTTTTTGATGCACCATCTTGTCCGAATGAAAAGACAGCCACAGAATCGTGCGCTTTCGGATGCGTTTCTGTGGCTGTCTGGAACACTCTTTTTCCTGATATTAGGAAGCCACTGGAGCTATGCACTTTAAAGCATCTAGATTGCAAACCAATTACTTTAAAACTGCTTTTTGTGTTTAGTTTGTTGTCTTTCCCCCGCACCTCCGATGAGCACAATTGGCTACATATGGTGCGAAAGAAGTTCAACACACATACATACACGTGTACAAAGAAGCAGAGCGAGGTGCACACTTGGTATTACACATTGAGAGACACAAAAAGGAACACATCAAGGAAGGAACACGAATCAGAGGCATCGTAATGATAATCGGGAAAAGTAAGTGAGCTCGGGGAGGACGAGTCGCTGGCCAGGATGATGGCCGACGGGCGAGACTGGTGACAGAATGGCAGAGAGAGGAGGAAACACGTCCAAGAAGAGGAGCACCACCGAGATAGAGCGGTGAGATCGGTTCCCATGCGGGAGACGGATGGTGGCAGCACTGGACCATGAGGGATGGTGACGGGGAGGCCTTCATCCAGCAGTGGACTGATCGTAGCTGGTGACGATGACTTTATATTTCACACAATTTTTTTCCATGATATATAGTACCATTTTATCTAAGAATCAGACCACAAGTATTTTACATCCAAAGGATGTATAGACTCTCACTTATTTTGCTTATTCATTTTTTTTAATAAATGAAAATGTAATTCAGTGCAATGCCATCAAGACAAGCGAGTGGCTCAGAGACATGCTGGAGATTTACATTTTAATATTAACGGTGATTTCACTAGATGGAAAGTCACTGCATCCAAAAAATTCGGAGAGTTTTAGCAAAGTGCTCAGTTTTATAGAATTGATTTACGTACAAAGACAGGGCAGGCATAACATAATTTAAGAGTAATAAAAGCAGAAATGGATAGACAAACCAATGCATAACACCATTCACTCTGGTAATTACGAGAAACTAATTGGGACTGAACGATGCACCTTTATTAAATCAGACCAATGCAGCTCATAGAGATAATAAGTTTAAAGCAAGTGACTTACATTGTATAAAATACAATAATTGCCTTCGGAAGGTAATTTACAAAAAAGTAATGAGGGCAAAGTTTTATACTTTTCCACAAATAATGATATCACTACTTTCTAACGTTATCATGAGGAGGCAGTTAAGAAGTAGTTACGAATCTTAAAAAAGCAATGAGACAAAGCCCTCATGAAGGCAGTGAGAAGAAGGCGGTGAGAAGGCAGCGAGACGGAGGAGACCACCAACCTTTCTTACCCTTGGCGGCCAGCACCATCTCCTGCACCTTCCTGTAGCGCGTCAGGGACTGCCGCAGATCGTCTATCATGTGGTCCTGAAGTTGCATACGAGAGGGGGCGGGGAGTACGAAGTCACATGGGTGAGGACACGCTCGTGTCCGTCGCTACAAGTGAACACCACTGCCAGCGCAAAAGGGCTTCATTTGTACACACGTACAACCCTTTTGTCTATCCACTGCTGGATAAGGGCCTCCCCACGCGGTGCGAGTCAGGGGGGTTATTTGAAGACGTTTCACCAGGCTGCTCATTGCGGGTCGGTGAAGGCAGGGAGCATAGATAATAGTACAGTACAAAAATGGCTTTCACTATACTGTCCTCTGCTGCAAACAATAGACGTCAGCAGCAACCCACAACACCTGTTACATGGAAGCACTAACTAGGCCTAGCCCTGCTAACGAGACAGGGTGCCTTCGAGCTGATTTGGTCAAAGGAGGCCTTACTTGATTTCCTTTTAAATCAATCTAAGGCCATAAATTAACCAGCAGACAACACCTCTTAATATTGACATAAGTAAACAGGTTGTTCATCTCGTTGCTTTATTTACAACAGACACTCCTAACCTAAACCCTGTGCTACTTTAGTTGATTGGTGAATGTTGCACTTCCAAGCTGAAGCTTAGCATTAGGCTGGAGTGAGTTTCTTTGGCATCGTGCAGTCCAACACAATTTGTCTGCACCTCGTATGAAAGTGACCACAGATTTAGCCAACGATGCATCTGGCGTGAGACGAACCTTGTCCTCATTGGCAGCCATCAGTGACTCCATCGCCACCTTTAGCCGGTGTATTTCTTGATCTGTAAAGCCCAAAGAACGAAAAAGTATGAATGTTAATTTTACAGACCAATAGCTCATACATGACACTGAGCCAGAGTAGGCATACATTACAATACCACAGGGAAATGAAACGTGTTCTCATCTTTCATAGTCTGCATGCATCACGGCTCACGAGTAAGTTTAAATCGTGTAATGTCGACTCAAATGCGACGCAAGGGCCTGCGTTCCAATCAGTAGGTGCCCCTGAGTGGTGTATGTATTAATAAATATCACACTCACAAGTGTTCGAGATACCCATACATTTTGCTCGCCTCCACTCTACAACTTTCGTACACCGTGAAAGTGAGATAAAACCGGGGGTCGTCCACGATGGACGCTGCCACATGCGAAGGGAATTGTGATGTCGCGAGAACAACAGTTTGGCAGAAGCACAAATCCGTACGAGTCAAGGCACTGCACCGCAGGCAACGCAAACACAATCCCCGGATCGACAGCAGCACATCCGGCGTTTTGCACTTGGTGGAAACGCTCAGCGGACCGAGGCGTCCCACTCACAGCGGCCAGCACTGATGGAAGCAGCGTGTGCACAAACTGTTATTGAGACAACGCAACAACGGGTAAGACCGTGCGGTGAGAGCTCAGGGTGAACGTGCAGGGGTCCTGCAGAGCAAAGTTAATGTTTGATTGCAGGCAAAATGGTGAGATGGGGGGAGGGGGTTGTAAATCAGGAAACCTGCGGAAAAACGAGATGGGATTATTTACAGCCCACAAGCTCGGAGACGCTGCTACGCATCTGTCAGCGCGGACGCGTAGGGGCCAAAATGGATGCGGCAGAAGCTGCGGAGGTGGAGCGGCACTGAGGATGTTTACGAGACGCAAGCCCCGCGATGTTATTGGTGCAGCTGTTAAAAAAGCATGGACTGGAGAACATATGCTTGCATATGCACACACCATGCAGGACTGCTGTTATAATTCGTTTCAGAACTCCTTTCAGATTCGTCAAACATCATTCAACACCAAACATTCTTGCGGAGCGTGCCAAATGTTCAGCATTGAAAAAAATTAAATGAGAGCGTGGTTTACGAAAGACAAGTTGTGGAAATAGAATTCAAGAACATATAGGTGAACTGTACACGCCATCCGGAAGGAGTGAACGTAGAGCAAAGCCAGCTTACGTCTGTCTCTCAGCATCCGTTTTAATTCCTCCTCTGCCCGCGAGCAACGAGGAAAAGAACAAGGCAACATTAATGAAACAGCCACGACACCAAGCCGGCATGCCCCAGAAAACCCCAACATCATCAAAGTCAACCTCCGGAGCAGAGTAGATTACCTCCTAATAATAAAAACACATGGAAAATCCAGTATCAGTCATCACGCACCGCTCAAAAGTTATTTGGTGATGCAGCAAATCTGTCGAGTTTTCAAAATTCTTAATTTCACAGATCAATATGGATTCCTACGGGCACTGACAAGCTAAGGTGGAAGCCACCAGGATAGTTAAATATAAGCGCATTATAGGAGGCCTCAAATATTGAATTTCTGTACGTGATTACTTTGCAACTGATCAATACATTTTCATTACTATCGCTGTTACTTTACTCGCAAAACACCAAGATGTTGGGTTATACAGTGGCTGTGTGAAGGGGGCAGTAAGTGGTGAGAATTGTTCTTTGCTGCATCCAAACACGGCGCGTGCAGCCTGGGAGAGCGGCAAGCGGGGTCACAGTTCGATTCAATCATCGACTCTTCTTTTAACACTGTGGTGAATTTAATCAGCCTCTGGTGGCTGCAGGGGTCACACGAACCCATTTAATATTCTTATTATCACGACCCTCATTTACCCAGGATAGCCTCACAGAGTTTCATGACTTTTGATCAGGGGGGTCCCCTGTCGCGTTTTTGCAGTAGAGGGACAATGATTGCAACGTCCGTTCCAAGTGAGTGATTTTACAGACAAGGTATACGAATTGAATGAAAACGGCAATTCTTCAGACGCGCTTCGATGCGTGAATCGTGAGCTCAGAAATTCAACATCGAGCTGAAGAATCGACATGTCTATACACCCCTAGCAGCAAATGCACCAGCAGCAACCACCTCCTCCCTTGGTTATAAGCAAAGCGGCCACTTCATGCGTAACACCAGACAGAGACAGCGCATTCTGAAGCCACCATCACCACCCAGGCCGTGCAAGTCACGATGACGTTGCGGACACATCCAATGCAGCGCTGTAACGTGTCCTTTCAAGGTTTTATTTGTCATCAGACCAGTCTGACAGTTAAAGAGACCTATAAATATCTTATTTTGAAAAGTAAATTACCCAAAATAAGGATGTACATAAAATATAACACAAACGGCACTCTAAAAGATACATTAAAAAAGCGGTATAATTTGCATTTGCGTTTCATCTAACTGCTCGGCACGTAACGACTTGCCACCCTTACAATTTGATGAACGGCCGTGATCTGGGATTTGTAATTATTTACGATGTAGCTAATGTAACACCTCCAGTGGCTCCAGAGGTTGCATACACCGATTATAAACAACATATGCCAATCAAAGCCGAGGACTAAATCACCTGGAATGTACCCAATCTCATCCCGGAAGCAAAGAGGGTTGATCCTGGAAAGTGCTTGCATTGGTGGCCACCATGCGTGACAGGTGTTACAGGCTGTACGCTACACTGTGGCAGCAGAGGGCAGTGCAGAGGATTCTGTTGTTTCACCTGACTTCTTCTACGCTTCCACATTTATTCTCGTGCCTGCACCAACCTGGACTGGCTAGCGAGCGTGGTGAACTATGGCCAAACGACCTCCATGAGTGACAAGGTGTGGGGAGACTTTCTGTAAAGGTAGTGGACAAACGGGACTGTACATGTATACACAAATCTAACGGGCTGTACAAGTACACACACATCTAATGGGCTGTACATGTACACATGAATCTAACGAACTGTACAGGTACACACGAATCGAAAATAATAAACTCCGCCTTGCCATAGCTTTCGTGTTCTAAGAAATGCACAATAACAAATTAAGTAACATAATGGGGCAATTCATCCGTATTCTACGACATCGCCACGAGCCTGGTGAACGCGATGGGAGTAACCGCAAGCGTGTGCGGTTTATCGGGTGCGGATCAGCGGGCGCGGTGGCGGTGCGTGGCGGCGGCACCTTTCTCGATGGTCTCGGCCTGCTCCGTCATCTGGTTGACGAGCTGGTCCTTGAGTCCCTCCACCTCCACCTCACGCTGCATCAGCAGTTCCTGCAGCTCGTCCAGCTCCACCTGCGAAGGGGGACGGGGGGGGGGGTCCCGACAGCGCGCACGGCGCTCAGTGCCAGCCACACGAGGCGCCACCACCATTTGCCTTCTACGAGCACAGGGGTGGAGAAACCTCCGAGCTGCGGGCCAGACACGGCCCACGACTTCATTTCATAGGGCCCAGAGCAAAACGACGGCCTACTAGTTTGAAACAGACAGCAACTTGTATTTGTCAAAAGCTGCAAGTATCTTAGCCACACTAATGGAGTACTAGAAGGGGGAATATTTTTGACATGGTATTTATAATTTTAGAATGCTGTGTCAACTGCAAAGGTGAGCCATAGGCATATTTCACATTATTTTTTGGATAATGCCTTACTGTGTTAATGTGTTTCCTGATAAAAGTTTCGAGAAATCCTATTTGGCCCTTGGTAAGGGAGAAGTTCCCTGCCCTTGTGAAAGTGGCTATAAACACAACGATGATTTATAATAAACATAGAAAATGCACCAGAGCCTCCCAATCCTCCCGGACACGTGGCCAATACGAGGTAAAAATACATCGATGAGAACTCAACTTGAGATGAAAAAATATTCCTGTCAAGCCTCTCTCAACAGACGTATAAAAAACACATGTAACTCATACAAGGGGGCATGCACACGACACGCATCAACGAAGTGATGCACAAAGATGCACAGGGAACTCTGATCGACAGTGACAAACCTTGGCTTGCAAGCACTCTCGCTCCCAATGCTGCCGCTCGTATTGTACCTGTCCGATTTTCAGTTTCATGCTGGCCAGCTTGGCCATGGCAGACTGCCAGTGAGCACATGGCAGACAGGCGCACGCAGAGGGACAGAAAGCAGGTGCACAGAACTCAGACAGAAGGATAAAAAAACACCTTGCAAGATTGTGCAGTGGAATGAAAATTAGGAAGGGAACATAGGAACTCAGAAGAGAAGAATTAGAGAAATGTTTTAAACCCAGCTTGAAAGTGTCACAAGAAGACCATTGTTGCTCCATACCAATCAGCGTACAACCGGGGAAAGGGCGTTGCTCGCTGGAACACAAATAGAAACGTATGGCTGTAACCCGAGCGTCTCATTGTCCTCGTGAGCTCTGACCCACACACAGGGGTCACGCAAAGGCCAGTGGCTTCCCTCACCTTGGTGTTCTTCAGTTTCTTTTCAAAGTGAACCTTCTCCCCCTCCAGCTCCACCACCCTTCTCCGCAGCTCAGCTATCTCGTGCATAAAATCCTGGCGATAGCACGAGGTGTTACTGTTAAGTCTTGATTGTCCTTGGATGTATTTATCGGAGTTGCCGATCAATAAATCAGTGTTTTTTTACACGCGCGCGCTGGTTCCCCACTCGCTGGTAGTGAGTGAACACGTGACCACAAACATGTCGGTAAGTAAACCGGTTACTTGTAAGTATTTCATTGGCAGTACAGAAACCGACAGGTCGCAAAACTTATTTAAAAATTATAACTTTTGCTCTGGTTTGTGTCTCCAAGTTTCGGGTGACACTGTGATTGGTGTGGCCAGTTTTCAAAAGTGTAAATCCTAAATAGCAACACAACTTTACACAAAAGTTTCAATCATATTGGTTCATCTTTATGCACCCCTCTCGGAAAGGACACAAAGAAAAGCTAATGCATAAAGTTTTCATGTATTAGTCGGAAAGCATGAAGTGGAACATGGGGAAAGGGGCCTTACCTCTCCATCACAGCTCCTATCCATAAACTCGCTTCTGTCCCTCTCCACAGAGGCGAGTTTTATCTTGAGAGACGAAATCTCGGCCATCAGATCCAGCTTCTGGGTCTCCAGTGATGTGCGGCTTAGCAGCTCCTGCTTACACAGAAGCGTGCATGTTTGTTGTGTTTATTTGCATACCGAGCTTCCGTCAGTATAAATAGCCATTCGTTTCACAAGCTAACATTGCTTGGTGACTATGACTTTCCTTGGTGCCTTCTGTGCAGGTTAAACAAATGGAGATTTGGCAGGCATTGACTTAAAAGCCCACGACATAGCTACCCCTCTATGCTACAGTGTGGCGTTGCAGAGAACGGTACCGTGCATTGTCAGACGCAGACTGTGGCGCGGCAAAATCCAGTGCTGAATAATTAAGATCCTGATTCTATGGTCCCACATCCAAGCTCCGCGCTTCCAACTACTCGCACTGACCAGCGTGGCGAGGGGGTGAGATGCGGTCAAATAACCTCCCACAACCTGCGCAGGCTTGGAGAGGCCATCATCCGGCGGTGGAGTGACAACAGGGCGGCACACCTACGCGCGAACGTATGCGAGTGGAAAGTGGCGTCACCTGCTCCAGCATGTCCTCGGTGGCATTGAGCTTGTCCCTGTGCTCGTCCAGACACACCTCCAGATCCCTGATCTTCTCTCCCTGGACTTCCACCTGATCCGTCAGGACACTCACCTGCACGGGCACATGCACGCGCAAAGGTTCCAGTCTGGCAGGCCGCCCCGCTTAGTGCCGCGGGCCCGCTTCACAGTGGATGTTACAGTGGATGTTAAAGTGAATAAAGAGATCGGAACTCGTGAACCGCCAAGCCCGTACAAAAACACACACTAAGTATTGAGTGTTGGAAGCCAAATAGAGGCAAATTAATGAACAACCGTGCTGGGCCACCGCTGTGACGCATACATGAACAGCAAGAACGACGAGCCTTACCTGCAGCACAAGAGACTCCTTATCTCCTTCCAAACGAGACAGCCTCTCCTGGTAGCTCTCCGCGCCACCATACTGCAAGTGGCCATTGGTCTGCACAAGCAAAGAGAGTAAGAGACTTCGTGTTCGTCCTCAGCACGCGCTCTTAAAACGTTAGAAAAAATAATGGATTCGCTGTGGACTGTGTAACTCTTTCCATTATGCATTTTGTCCCCGAATGTGTGTAAATATCAGTATGGAAGTCCACGGGAAGCAGATGTCAGGGAAAAAATGCATTTTCACATTTGCCTGGGTTCTGTCTGCACGGTTTGGGTGACAATTCGAGTGATGTGTCCAATTTTCAACTTCATACTCTGGTTACATTCATATTGCATGAGCTTTAGCAGAGTCATCGTGCCCCCCATTGGTAGGCACAGATAGGCAGGTGGGAAGAGCTAACGCATCAACGCATTCAGCCTTAGTTGGAGAGCGTTAATAACATGTAATTGAACGTGTGCAGCTTTCAGTTCTTAACAGCGCAACACATGTTGCTTACCCTATAATCACGCAAAATTAAACGTAGAGGTTATGCAGGGTAAAGTATTCTGTGTACATCAGCAGCGAGTGTTTTTTTCCACGCTCATTTTCCCCGCGAGCCTCCCAGAGAAGGGAAATTATTGTGCAACACAACAGAGCACTGCGTGACCAATGAGCTAAAGAGGCAATGCCCTATGCCACTGCACGTGGCAGAAATGCATTATTGATGTGACCAAATGGCTACATACATCATGATTACTGCAACACACATATATAGAATGTACACGTACACATGCAGTACATCTTTCCGTACACAAGTACAGCCCTAATCCAAAATTCACTGCTGGATGAAGGCTTAACCATGAAATGCGGGTCATGAGCTTTAGTTGGCCATTATTCACCACGCCGTGTGTATCAAACATTTGGTCAGTAAAATAATGTCTACGCAACACACTCAGTATGGAATCTCTGAAGACAAAAGCAAATTAATTAAAGAGTTTCCAAGGACTTCCAAATAAATACGCGATTCATGTTACACCGTAAACAGATGGCCCCCGAACACGGGACACTGCCAATGTCGTTATCATGGAGCCTAAAGCAAGGCTCGGGACAGGCAAACGCATTCCAGATTAAGGCTCAGCTCCAGCCACTGTTTTTTCATAATTGCTTAATAAACAAATCAGTATGTATTTCTAGCCACATAATGAAGCCCGTTTATTTTTTTCAGTAAACAAATAGCTCTATGAATGGGGGTGGGGGGACGACGGCCAATCACGTGAATATTCGGGAGCTTTCGGCTTGTCTAGACTCTCAATGCATGTAATTTACAGCGACTCAATTGCCACAACAGCCCAGGCTGATGCTGGGTCTCAACCATGACGCACTTATCAATTAACACACTCAGCGACTCAATCAACTGTCACGATACGAGGTTTGTGATTTGAATCAAACAAATATGACTATTTTTTGTCCCTTTTTACCGTCTCGTTTGTATTGTTTCTGATTGGTAGAATTGTGTCCACACCGTTATCACAAGCGTATAATTGATTAGCGTAAAGTCTACATACAGTGAGGGAAAATTATTTAATCCCCTGCTGATTTTGTACGTTTGCCCACTGACAAAGAAATGATCACTCTATCATTTTAATGGTAGGTTTATTTGAACAGTGAGAGACAGAATAACAACAAAAAAAATCCAGAAAAACGCATGTCAAAAATGTTATAAATTGATTCGCATTTTAATGAGGGAAATAAGTATTTGACCCCCTCTCAATCAGAACGATTTCTGGCTCCCAGGTGTCTTTTATACAGGTAACGAGCTGAGATTAGGAGCACACTCTTAAAGGGAGTGCTCCTAATCTCAGATTGTTACCTGTATAAAAGGCACCTGTCCACAGAAGCAATCAATCACATTCCAAACTCTCCACCATGGCCAAGACCAAAGAGCTCTCCAAGGATGTCAGGGACAAGACTGTAGACCTACACAAGGCTGGAATGGGCTACAAGACCATTGCCAAGCAGCTTGGTGAGAAGGTGACAACAGTTGGTGCGATTATTCGCAAATGGAAAAAAAAACACAAAAGAACTGTCAATCTCCCTCGGCCGTCGGGCTCCATGCAAGATCTCACCTCGTGGAATTGCAATGATCATGAGAACGGTGAGGAATCAGCCCAGAACTACATGGGAGGATCTTGTCAATGATCTCAAGGCAGCTGGGACCATAGTCACCAAGAAAACAATTGGTAACACAATACGCCGTGAAGGACTGAAATCCTGCAGCGCCCGCAAGGTCCCCCTGCTCAAGAAAGCACACATACATGCCCGTCTGATGTTTGCCAATGAACATCTGAATGATTCAGAGGACAACTGGGTGAAAGTGTTGTGGTCAGATGAGACCAAAATGGAGCTCTTTGGCATCAACTCAAATCGCCGTGTTTGGAGGAGGAGGAATGCTGCCTATGACCCCAAGAACACCATCCCCACCGTCAAACATGGAGGTGGAAACATTATGCTTTGGGGGTGTTTTTCTGCTAAGGGGACGGGACAACTTCACCGCATCAAAGGGACGATGGACGGGGCCATGTACCGTCAAATCTTGGGTGAGAATCTCCTTCCCTCAGCCAGGGCATTGAAAATGGGTCGTGGATGGGTATTCCAGCATGACAATGACCCAAAACACACGGCCAAGGCAACAAACACATGAAGGTCCTGGAGTGGCCTAGCCAGTCTCCAGACCTTAATCCCATAGAAAATCTGTGCAGGGAGCTGAAGGTTCGAGTTGCCAAACGTCAGCCTCGAAACCTTAATGACTTGGAGAAGATCTGCAAAGAGGAGTGGGACAAAATCCCTCCTGAGATGTGTGCAAACCTGGTGGCCAACTACAAGAAACGGCTGACCTCTGTGATTGCCAACAAGGGTTTTTCCACCAAGTACTAAGTCATGTTATGCAGAGGGGTCAAATAACATTTTTGACATGCGTTTTTCTGGATTTTTGTTGTTATTCTGTCTCTCACTGTTCAAATAAACATACCATTAAAATTATAGACTGATCATTTATTTGTCAGTGGGCAAACGTACGAAATCAGCAGGGGATTAAAAACTTTTTTCCCCTCACTGTATATCGTACATAGTAAATTCGTACAAACATCGTTATAAATCCACTTCGACAGTAAATCGTTATCATGTATTAAAATTATTATTTACTACTATAATGAGCCAAGAATGTCTGTCCTCCGCGCGTTATGTCACTCCATGTCAACCAGCCCCCCTCATTAATAATCATAAACAGGTGACGTCCTACAAATGGACACCCCCGCCATTAATAATAAATAGCTGGTGACGTCACTCCACATGGGGGGGCGAGGCGCCTTCACCCCCCCTCCTCAGCGTAAACTTGCAACCCTCACTACAAAGGCAGAACCCTCACGTCACGCGATCTCTGTAATGCTATTGAGACATAGAAGTAAAAAGGACGTCGTGATGAACAAGGGATTATAACCTTTCAATGAAACAAGTCTGTGTCAACGCGCCCTCACAAATTGCACACGAATGGATGCAATGAATATCACGTCGCGGTCTGCTTTTCGCTTGCAAGTTTCAGATTTACTGCAATACACCCATCCTTGGCTGGGCAAAAGGCTCGTGATGTTAATAATCAAGTGTACTTTTATATGGCTGGTTATCAGGAAGGATATCAATGCTGGTGAAGCAATTATATGTACAGGCAATTATAACAAGTTTACCATTACCACATAATTGAACGTGATGACCCAAGCATGCATGAATTAAACATTTTTGTTCGTTCCAAACAACTTGATAGGTTTATATACAACTAAAGAATGAGTATACAATAACTCCAACGACAACTAGTCTCCAAGTTATATTTACACTGCGCTGAAACCTCCAGCCCTGTAAATAAAATCACGAGCTACACACGATGGGAAATTTGCCTGGGCTTGTTAAATCTTTCGTGCCCAATGCAAGCCTCCAACCCGGCTCCAACTCCCCAGGGCTATGCAAAAGGAATGAGCTGCCGAAAATAAGGGGGGTTGTAACGAGTTCAGACTAAAAAAAATCTTTAACAGTCCATCTCATTTGCTGCCTGGCTGGAATGTTTGGCATGTGTGAGCCCAGGAGCGAGGGCTGAGGTTTTCAAGCACGATGTTTGAAACGGCGTCTAAATATTGAAAAGCGAGGCGGTTAAAAGTTTTGGAGGGGTTTTTTTTCCCTCCGTTCAGCAAACAAATCAAACGTACAATCAGTTGCTCTTCGAAGCTGCTCAGAGGCCAAACAACCACACGAAGTTTCTATCAGTACCATCGAGCAGGCGTCTGGGCTTGTGCTGTGCAACTCATTGCCTGGATGCAATTTAACTGCATTCGACGGAATTGTATTCAGTTCAACTGGGAAAGCTCCGAGCACGTGTAGTGAAACGTCGGACATCATGCCGAACAGGACACAGTACAACCAGAAAACGCATCATCGTAGATCTAAACATATGTCCAGTGTTGACTTCCAGGTTAGAGAATCAAAATCATACATCAATACAGTTTATGGGAAACTGAGATATACAATTTCGTAGTCCTAAGCATTAGTAGTCTTACTTTTTGCAAAGAACAAATAGAGATTGCTTACTGCCATATGCCAAATCATTATCTCTTTAGCACAAGTCTTCATAAATAACATTTAGCTTATGCCTGAATCAGAAACTAAAGATCCAGTGCAATGCTTCCACAGGTACCTCACGACACTTGAGGAAAGCCCTTTTAATGTAAACAACAAACACACAAGGTAATAACTTGCTGCTTCAATTAAATTATACAATAAGTAACATGTAAATAAAAAATAATAACAGAGTTTTTATTTTCCCATCACTGGCAGGAAAGAACAATAAACATTAGACAGTCACTGTGCTAATGGGTTTCTTTTAACTGAGAAAATAAAAAATTCATAATTATAAAGCAGGCCATAATAAAACCCATGTCTGCAGGATGCCTCAAGAATAACGACGCCTATCCACAACACAAACGCCAACCACGAGCAAGCACCCACAAATCTGCTTTCCGCAGCGCGCCCTCCCCCCTTTCGTCGCACTCCCAGCGGCCTTACCCTTTTCAGCCAGGTTATCCGTCGGTACAGTTCCGCCTGAGGCCACTCGGCCATGCCCCCAAGCACACGTTGGTGGGTCACTGGGAAGGGGTCACGGAGACGGGGTTGGGGGAGGGGGGTGGTAGCGGAGGACGCCGCCGGACCCCAGACCCGGCGGAGAATTTCGTGGCGAGTCCGTGGAGAGCGCCGGCCCTCCGTGCTCCGTGCGCAACGCGGGCAGCGCTCTGCGGGGGCCCTCCGCCGGAGAGGTGCGTAACTCAATCTGAACCTGACGGAAGAGCGGCGACCTGCAGGCGTGCGTCTTCGCACCCCCTGGCCGCCACCGTGCACCCCCGCCCCCCACCACCCACCCACCGCATGGCCGTGAAACTCGATTCCTCTTCCTCTCCCCTCCCCACCAAAGCGTTTATAGCACGGAGTCAAGCGTTGGGGCGCGGGTGTTTTCCTCGCTAAAGGGTTGTGAGCTGCTTTCCTGGTATCTAACGCAGTGCCCGACAACAGTAATGTAACATATTGACCTAATTATTGAAGGGAAAATTTAAAAAAAATTCCATTCCTCTTAATCAGCACGCTCAACGGAGTAATTCTGCAAAGCAAACTTATTCTGTTCGTGCCATTTTTAAGACAACTTTCCTTGTAACCGGGTGTTCACTAATGAAAGGCTCAGTTTAGAAGCATTGAATCTGGGCCAATTGCTGGGAATATTTATCCCACATTCACACAACACTGTCTTATTGTCTCTCACATGTTCTCTTAAAACTGGTAGGCTAAACACCACAGCATACATTCTCTGTATCAGTTCACACACAACCTCCCACACACACCAAGAGCGCAGCAGATTGGATTGCTGCCCAAGGCAACTACCCTCATCACAGTCAGGGTGCTTGGAGTATTTGTGAAAATTGGCTCATTGTACAGACTTCCCTGACAAGGCCAGTATATGTGTTCTTACAATATTACATTGGGAAACCATACCTGGGGCTCTGGCCCATCCAATTATAGTTTCTTCATGGAAAACAGGCAGCCGGGCCGCAAGGAAAAAATCTAATTTACTTCGCTCGGCATCAGATCCGGGGATGCAAAAAGCTTAGCTCTGGTATTGTGAAAACAACAGTGACAGCATGCTGACCTTGCCAAAAACAAAAAAAAAACTAAAACGGCACCGCTGTGCTCAGCTGCCTGCTGCCTCCACGGCAGATAAATGGAGCAGCACGAGTTTAGCAGGCGCGCTGGAGTGCATAATTCTGGGAAACGTGCGAGTGATGGTCAAAATGTTGTGACAAGTGGAACCTAAAACGGACAACGGGCCTGTATTTATTACTCGAGGTGCAATTACTTATCCTCACGGCAATTATATGCATTGTCATGATTCAGTGTCGCAATTCGATTTGAGAATATATGTATTTTTTTCACACAGTGGTGGATTTAGCATCCAACAGTGGCTGTGGGGGGGGGTCACATGAACCCATTAAACTCAAGCATTTATGAATTAAAAAAACATGATTGTGCACATGATAGAATGCATATATTGTGAGCTTAAGAACCTATATTAATTTATACTGTAACTAACGGAATTGCTTCACCTGTACTTATGACAGAACTGTTACTGTTGTCGCCACCCCGAAATGGTAATGGACTTAAATATTGAAGAAATGGAAATGCGGCTCAAGATTAGGCACGACAAACATCACGTTTGTGTGACATTATACAGCGTCTCGTTCTCAATTCTCAATGACGTCGCTTGTAAATGTCACGGAAAATGAAGATGCCACATGTACCTCACTGGTTAAAAATCAACTCTGATGCACCCGCGCGCAGCCCGTTTAAAGGCAACTTCTGAGAAGGTTTAAATAAATAGTTATTCCGTAGACTTTAACCCACGACTCATGGCCTCCAGCAATGTATCTATATTTTCTCCTGACTGCCACATCTTGTTTTACATAAACAACTCTCTGTTATTTCTTTAATGCATCTCTCCGGCTCCCACTACTCATAAGAAACCATGAATTCGTGCCAACTTTTTTTTTCATGAACACAGTGGAAAGCCTTGCTCTGCTGATGTTATGAACTCTTTAATGAATTTTAAAACTCCTATCCTACTCCTTTCAAGTCCTAGGACAATGAGCCCCCTTTACCAACGACTTTTCCCCAAAGCTAAAAATCACACGGTGTAAAAACCACAAATGTCAAAATGTTACGTTCGTTATACAAAACCATAAACCGCCAGCTGCTGGCTCCTGAGCACGCCGTGAGTTGGGATTATAAGAAGCACGAAGCGGCTCATGGAATAACAGTGAGAGACGGGAAGAGGAACACGTGGCTTACAGAACATACATGCGTTAAGAGACGTCTCATTGGCTGTAAAGAAAGGTGAAGTGGGCTTGGGCAGGGCACGTTGCAAGAAGAGATGTAAGCCGATGGTCGAAGACGATCGACGGCGTGGCAGGCGCCGGAGGGAACGTCAGGTGCAGATGGGGATCAACGAATTCGGCTCGTGTGCAGAAGCCAAACGGACTCTTGAATCGCGACGTGAGTGATGGCGACGTGCTTCAGATGCCTTCGTTAAACAGTGGATAGATCATGGCTGATAATGACAATTATGAAACGATGCTGCTGAGAGATGGAGACAGCTTGGGCAGAATTCACTTGACAGTACATACAGTCTCTACCAGAGCGAGCGACAACAGTGCACATTCCAAGTTTAAATCTTTATTATATTGCATCAGGCAGTTACGATCGCCCTTTGCAGAGGAAGTCCTCACCATGCCGCAGTGCAGCCAGTCCGCGAGGGTGTCGATGGTTGAGTCCGGTATCTGTGACCTCAGCGTCTCCCTGTCATCTTCTCCTCCCACCGCGTCCAGTGCTCCACGCAGCTCCTCCACCAGCTGCAGCACGCGCAGGCCGCCCAGCGAGCTCATGGTGCCGCCGTATGGAGACACGGGAGACTGGCAATCGAAAAGCCCATTGCCGTACTCCATGCCCTTCGAGCCTGCGTGAACACGGTGACGGGCGGACGAGCGGGTAAGTGGGTGAATGGGCGAGCGAGGAAACATCGTAAATCCTTTAAGACAGCATCCGGCGCTCGTTTACATCTGTACGAGGGATGCCACCAGTACGGTCAGTTATCTTGCACACACCTGCGGTGATTGGACAAGTTGGAAAAGACAATACTGAGAGCGGCTAAACAGGGCTGCGGTTATCTCAGATTGTCTTGGTATATGCATGTACAGCTCTTAACAATCCACTGTTGGCCAAAAGCCTTCTCATGCCTTTCGGCTATGGGAGACGTTTGACCATACTTCACTATGCTGGTTAGTGCAGGTTGGTGAAGGGGGTGCCCAGGACTGGTTCAGATCTCACTCATTACTGGCAATCGCCATGGCCGGGAATCGAACTGAGGTTGCCAGGTGAACAGCGCAATGCGCACACCCACTTATATCCACCTCCGCCCCACCCAAGACTGTCTATGAGTGCGAGTGAAAACCACACGTGCGCATCCTGCAACTGCAATGTGTGCCTATTCATGATTAAACAAAAACCCTCAACAGATATGAACGTACGAGAAGCCGGGCGCACACCACTGGGAGGGAGGTACCTGCGATGATGCCATCCATCTGTTCAAGGGCAGCAGCCAGCATCTCACTGGCGTCCGACATGTTGGCGTTAGTGTTCCGTTACTGCAGCACTGACAGCCACCAAAACTCCCTCTCCTCTGCAGCAAAGCAAAGCAAGGGGAGGGGAAGAGGGAGGAACAGAAATGCACAGACATGTTCAATTTATACTTAGCATACTACATTATTTGTGGCTATTATTTGAAGAATAAACGTAAGCAAACATGCGAATAGGAAAATGCCAAGGTAAAAACATGTCACGCCAAATGTGTCAGCAGACAAGTATTCTTCAGGCTTGTTTGCCCAGACACGCATGAGCGTGTTTTGCTCTCACAGCGTCTGATTCCCTATTTTTCGTGCTAGCTATTTAAAAACCCTGACGCGGCAAACAGAAATACTAGAATAACATACCGAGCATTAAAGGCAATATGCTATTAAAATAGCAACTTGCGGCGCTTTGCCTCATTCTGCAAGCATATGGGAGCGAAGAATATGAACAGGAAGAGAAAGTCGGGCTCTTGTCTAAACTCAAACAGAAGGAAAGCTATGTGAGCAACCCTTAAGCAATGCACATTGAACTTTGAACTCAAAGAGTTTTCATGCAACAGAGGGGGAGCTAAATAAGGGCTCTCTACTGTCCATTCATGAGCCAGTTGCCAGAGCAGAGATGTCTTTAACATGTGTGAGGTGCGTGTGGAATATAAAATCAGGCGACATCCAATGTTTACAGCCCACTTGCAGTCCACTCCGGACCTGTCCATTGTACGCAATTATTTATCATTATTTGTGAGATGTAAATAACTGACATAAAACAGCCACAGGGCCACACAGCGAGCCTAAAAAAACTCTAGCTCATGTACGTCGTTTGCGTTGAGTGACGGAAACCGTGCTCCAACCGACCATTAACTCAAAGAAGAAAAAAACTTCCCCCCCCCGCCCCCCCGTGAACCGACTAACCAAACCACCCTACCAATCACATGGCCCCCACGAAAGGCTGGGCCAACAGAAGGCACAATAGGTTGTTCATTGATTATTTTATTTGGTCCTGGAAGGCAAGGCTTTGTTATCCAAAGGAGGGAGCATGGGGTGCAAATGTGGAAATTGCCAATGGATACACAACACAGCATTATCAAACGTGCGCATTGCAAAACCAGCCATGTAGAGCTCACTTTTGCGCTATGCCACAGATATAGAATTGGTCACCGGGCCAATCGGTATACCTTGTGCTCCTGACAATGTCCTGTTGTAAAGGAAGATGTTAACCTTAACCTCAATTTCCTTCCACGTTTGCGCAATTGTTTCCAAGTTCCTGCAGGTGAAGGTCTCTCCAGTTTTACTTATTTATTTATACGCGCACCAAACACGACACAAATAAATAGAATTACCACCAGAAGGTGGACGGTACTGGAGGAGAACAGGTCTGTTATTAATTACCAAAGAGTCCTGGTTTCAGGTCATGTCACAACATAGCAATAAACCAACGGGGTTTGGCAGAGAACAGAGAGAATGGTGAATTTCTCACGTGGTCCACAACCACACATAAACGAAGGTCACTACTCGGCAGTATTTCTTGAGTGTAAGCAAACATTTGCGAGAGACTGGGTTGTATTCTGCTGTTTGTATCTCTGAGCTGCAGTGAAACCTTCCATGTGCATCACTTTGAGGTGAAAGTGTTCTGGCATTTTATGAGCTTAGAAAGCTTGTAAAAGGTTAATAGAAAATTCGCATACACAAATCTTCTGGCTGAAAACACAGAAAATTGAGGCGAATAACCATTTCAACAAAAGAAAGAAAAAAAATCTACCAGCACCTGGGCACTTTCCTTTTTCACATGTTTGGTTAAATGACTCATGGTACTTTCCAAATGTCAAAATGCTTATAGTATCAGGGTCATCACTGCCGGTCAGGCATCTGGCAAGGAAACCTTTGTGCAGTACAAAAAAGACAAATAAGTGTTTTTTTTTTATGAACGTACACCTCATTTTTGGACAAAATACTAAATGTGAAATCTATATATTTTATTTGCACTTCATGTTATAAGTTCTTGTATACCACTATAAATATGTATTTTTTTTATTTTTTGTGAAGCTTTGTCAGCACTGTCAAAACAATGCCGATCCTACATGGTAACAACATACCACGCACTGACAGACCCGTGGAAAAGAGGCACAAAGGAACGTTAATATGACAACTCCTGGCCACTCTGGGAATAGAGATTTAATGTATACATCTCGGACGGCTTTTGATAATGAAAAAATGTATTGCAGATCCTGCATTAAAAAAAAAGCCTTGAGTGCAGTTACTTGCTTGCCAAACACGCACACACACACACTCCGAGAACAAACTAGGGCAAAGGCTTCCCTTCACAGCCCACACGATCATTGCGCGTTGTCATAAATATTTCTTAAAGCAAAATCGATCAATTTTTAGCTTTAACCGCAAAGGAGAGGACCGCATCAACAGGAGAACAAACAGCAGAATGGCTTTAATAGACAGCGACTATTAACTATTTATAAAAGGCTCCCATGCTGCATCAGCTATATAGCATTTGTTTTAAATTACGTGTTGCCATTGGACCAATTACAAATTGCGCTCTTCACGAGTTCAGGAATTGCCACTATTTGCGGTGGCGATTTCATTCAAGAATCAATTCCCTTGTATCAATTGTGTCGCGAACGGTATTTCAACGAATGGTATGTTTCTATGAACAGTATTTCTATGAATAACCTGGGATGACACAGCTCAGTTGGTTTAGAGACCGGAAGTGGTGGTAAAGCTGTTGCCCCGATGCGTCACACGGCACAAGAAGGAGAAATGTCGAACGCAAAAGTGAATGTAGTGGCTTCTAGTGGCTTCTCGTGGCAGCAGGAGTCACATGAACCCATTATATACAGGGTATAAGAACTGAAAATAATACATTCTCACACGCACAATTCTACGCATGCATCGTGAACGTAAAAAAAAAACCTACTTTAATCGATGAATCGAGGTGTTGTTATTTACCTAATGACCGTCATGAAATGATGCGAAGAGAGACGAAAGGCTGTGAACGGTTAGCCCATTACCATTAACAATGAAGAGACACTTCACTAAGGGTTACGGTCTTACGAGTCCTCTCTCTGTGCACTCCAACAACACCTTGCGTGTGTGGGGAGGTATGAAAGTCAGACTTAAAAAACTTCGCCATGTGAATGCATCGAACGGCAAGTCACGTGTAGCCACACGTGATGGTCCAGAGGAAGCTAATTAACACGAGAACTCTCGAGGGGGTAGACAATCAAAACGAGATGACATCTGCTGCTTCTCAGTACTTTTCATGCACCAGTCTTAAGGCTGCAACACACCAAGAACTTCACAGATACCTCATGGCATGACGTCCAGAGAGCTTAATTGTCCGTATCAATGGGTATGCTAAAAGGATAAGAAATTGCCCTCGTATTTAACCGCAGTGAATCAGTTCCTCATATAGCTGTGGTGGTGCAGTGGTTAGCACACTGCACGATGATTCTGGCAAACTAAGTTCAAATCCCGGCTAAGATAAGTGGTCAGTGTATTTGAAGCAGTGCGGATAGGTACTGTAAAACAACCCCTCACAACTGGCATGGCATGGGGAAGCAGTCATCCAGCAGTAGATTGAGAAACGGCTGAAAATTATAGGTTTTACTATTATTAGAAATCAACGCATCAAGCATTGCTTTCTGATCCGGTAAGCATGCAAGCATTGGTCCATATATTATTCAGTGGAAACTAAGCATTACAACTAAATAAAACAATTAACTTCTGAATATTGTGTCATATTTTCTGCTGCCCATGTAGTCTAAACGACCGCTTTAAAAAGCAGAAACTAGAATGAACCAAAAACGCCTGCAAGCAGGAAGGAAGTAATCAAATATATTAATGGCCCGCATTAAATCTTAACTCGAGCGCACTGATAACGGGTGTGGCGTGTCTAATAAAATCAATAAATACAGCATTAGCGTGGGATCGCACATTACAGCGCTCATTAAATTATTCACACGTACATGCAGCACATAAAATATTTTATTGTGCGCTGCTGGTTGAATGCCAGGAGGGAAGATGCAGAGAATTGGACCAAAGTACGAGCTAATCCATAACTGTCTGACGATCACGGAAGAATGTAAACACGTCTACAGATGTAGTCTACAGTTAGCACTTACAAAAGAATAGTTCATAAACAGCTCGCGGTTCAGGTCATCCGATAACTCGCCTCTTTCCGGCACATAAAAGAAACGAAAAGATATAAATGTACTTTCTGCTTTATGTATGGCTTTTTCAGGGCCAAAGGAACGGGCGGCACAATGAAACAGAAAAGACATTGCTCCTGTAAAGATGGCAAAGCATGTGTTTAGCACGCAACAGTGTGGGTATAATGAATCACAGCTACCTTTAAGGTAAACTTCCTGGGCCACCGAGGATCTATACATTTAACTAGAATGCAACCTTGCCCAACAACAAAATTTGCCTCTATTATCTAGAAACCAAACCGCCAACCGATCAAATGAAGAACGGCATGTGGAATTTTTAAGGGGAAATATTTACAACAAAAATGCAGTAAACAGCACTCTTAACAATTTTTCAACATAAAAGAAATAGCACTACGGTACGTTTAACACGTACGGTACGTGTACATTAGGCTTACCAATCGTACACGAAAGGACTTCGATAAATCCTCAGTCAAAGTTAGACCACGCAAACAACTGCTCAGGGGCTAAGCTAGACTAGGGTCAGAAAGCACTATGCAAACAAACGTCCCATTAACCATTCATGGCGCGGGCCTGACAGAGCAGGTGGAAAAACACAGCACACACACACACTGCTGCTGCCGCCGCCTGCCATAATAGCGGGTATAAACAAGTACAGTAATGCGTGGAAAGAGCAGCATCCGTCGAAGCCCCGTGTGCCTGTCACCCAGTTCCAATTACTACAAACGCATTCTGGTTAAGATAACAACACATGAAAGACATACATGCGCAGGTGCCGCCCGATTGTTAATCCACTGCTGGATGTGGGGGTTATTCCGCCGTATCTCCTCCTACACGTTGGTCAGGCGAGGGTGGAGATGGTGGAGAAAAATACAGTACAACACATGGATTTTGTTCAACTGCATTCTGCTGTTCACCACGCAGTCTGTAACACGTATCATGCACGTGATCGTACATCCGAGTACCATCAGAATCAGAATCTTTATTTATCCCGGAGAAATCCGATGAGCTACGAAGCTCTTTTCCACAAACGTCCACTTTTCGGCCTCTACACAGCTCAGCATCCGACATCTGGGTGAATTGGTCAGCGGCATTTATACCCAGTTTCAATGATTCGAAGGCGTTTTGCTAAACTACATATGAAGAACAGCACAGTCTTAAAGGGAAAAAAGAGGACAACAGGTAAATGATTACAGGGAGAAAAAAAAGTGAAACGCATGCTTTCAATTCTTGAGAATTCTAAACGGCTCACAAATGCCAAATGATCAGTGCCTCGAGGGAAAATAAAAGTTTCGGCTGTCAAAGTTTGAGACGCAACCTCAACAACACGAGTCTGTTTTCCAATACCAGGTTAACTGTGTGGTCAACAGTGTTTGTTTGGGTATAGCCCATAGTGATTGGTTGATTTCCTATGAACTTGTGAAAAATTATCATTGATGCAAATTATGACAACACTTGACTGCCACACATATCTACGATTCGGCGCTCTGACAAAGGAAAAGACGATGCCACTTGGGGGAATAACTCAACACGGCGTATCAACTGGAGCGGCTGCTCTGGGCACGAAGATCCCAAAGCAACACATTTGTCAACAGACCAGAGGGAGAAAGGATTAAGCTCCGACCACGGAGGGATGCAAAAACTTAGCTAAAAAGGATTGACTAAATTAGTTTTGTCCTCAGAGTGACCTTGAGGGAAAAACATTCCAGAAACAAATATCAGACAGATGGGGCCCATCAATGGTGTCGATTTCATGCAATTGTGAGTTGATTAGGGCGATTACGACGACAATTACGATGAATTCACTCGTAAAAAATGCAAATCAGTTAAACTGACATCACATGAACGTTAACACGACAAATCTATATTAATAAGGAAAACAAACACACAAATGTATTGCCAATCTGTCACGAGGAAATATGTAAACATGTAATCACCTTCCAGCCTTCCATATAAATCCCAAGTTACCCCTAGGATTTCAAATAAATTCTCCCGGGCTACGCCAATTCATTCCACGTCAACACTGGGCAAACAAAATGCTTCACTCCACTATTACATCCTACAGTATGCAATGCCAATCACTATGCCGTTTGTGCAATGCCCGAGACATTAAAACATTGGAATTCTTATATCATGAGACCTCCTGATCCCTTGTAATAAAGGTATCAGTTTTGTTGCCAGATAAAAGGGTAAAACACCTATTATTACATTGGAATTCTGTTACGATATTATTACTCATGTAATGTGTGCGTAATGCCAGTGTAATATTGCTTACTCGAACAGTGTTTCTTAACTCCAGCAGTTCTCATTTTTTTGGACAATCGCCATCCATGTTTTCATGATTAACGACCTCTTCTATTGGCATGAACTAACGCACACTTCATGTACCTGATAGTTGGTAATCATGGAAAGCTCTACCATGAGGGGTCACAAAGGCTGCAGTTGAAGAACGTGAGGCGAGCGTGATTAGAAAACAGGTTTGCAACAATGTCAACCATTTAACATGCAATCACAAATGTCCAACTGTCATCAATGTCATTACAATACGTGTATAAAGCTCATAAAACAGGTTAACGTGCTTGTTTATATATAATGGCCAGTAACACACCTTCAAATATTTACAAAACCGTGAACTGTTGAACGTACTGCCTCCCGTGTTTCGCACTAGGGCGCTCCCTGCCAGAGTGCCAAGTGCTTGAATGGTGATTGCCAAAAAATCCCTATTAACCAGCGTATTTATGTTCGTCTGCTTTTTATCAGAGTATTTACCAGGCCTGCTTTACCAATACCACCCATTCATCAATAGTCGCTTGGTAGTTTGCTTGCTAAGACTCACTTTGTGTATGCTTGCCAAAAGGGAACGTGCCCATTCGACTTTTATGATTCATTAAAAATATATTTTTCCGGAGACACTCCCTGTCAGTGGCTGTCAAAATCAGACACTCCCGAGGAAACATGTCTACACGTTGTGATGGGATTCCAAGGCACCTGTAACCTAAAATATGAAATAAGAAAAATGAAAACTAGAACACTGGTGAAACTATTTCAAACAACAAGCTGCGACAGTATGCTGCTTAGAGCGTAGCCTCACATTCTTGGCACGTGTTCAGTGGCCACAACTCCACGTGCTGTGAAACTGTTCTGTAAAACTTACATTAATTTGTTGCTCTCCGTGACATACGGACAATAAGGCAATGTCGAACAGCGCATATAATGGCACACACATTATTATCAAGTCATTAAGGCGCACAAGGCATGAGCCTATAACCACTAGGTTCATGCCGCAGTCTTTGTGTTACACAGTCACGTCTGTGCTTCCATTATTAAGTGTCCGGTGTGTACTGTCATGGGGCAGCATGCTGTCCGGGAGAGCAGGTGGGGGGTGATGCAGGGAGAAATAGGGGCAGAGACCTTCTAAGGCGGGTAGCCAGGAAGACGACATGGTAGCCGGAGACTGACACGAGGTAAGGGACATCCGGGCGTACGTTTAAAGAAATGAGTCATGAAGACAGGCGATCCAGGGTGACAGACAGGCAGACCAAGGTTGAGTCGACTACCAGACAGAAGAGAAGTAGACACTGCGGGGAGGCAGACAGAGGAGAGAGACAGGGGGAGACCGACAATCCGGGGATGTAGTAGACACGGTACGCAGGTGAATAAGACACACGGGGGAGACGCATATAAGACAGGAGGGGAGAGAGGCGATAAAGAGATGAGGATTTAGACAGGACAGGCAGGAGAGACGAACTAAAAGTCAGGAGCGAGACGGACACGGGGGGCGAGACGGACACGGGGGGCGAGGCGGACACGGGGGGCGACGAGGCGGACAGTGCTCCCGGGCCCGGCCACGCTAGCGCCGTGGCGTCTCCCGCATTCCGCGCATTCCGCTCCGGCCGAAGCGGACTCTGCGTGGCCACGTCTGCTCGAACCAGCCACCAGGGTTAGAGGCCAGGAGACAGGAGACGCCGAGACGCAAACGCGGGACGGAGACGACGCCGAGACGAGGAAGACAAAATCCAGCAAGATACAGACGCAGGCGAACAAGCAGCACCCAGAGTCACCAAGAGAGACTTCGAGAGACAAGACACCAAGAGACATATATCGAGACAACAGACACTGAGACATGGACACAGGAAGACCGATACCGAGGAACGAGAGACGCCAAGAACCACGGAGACACAGAGCCACAGAGACACCCCCAGGGCCGCGGCTAACGGACCGTGGTGCCTCCCGTTAACGCCCCCCCCTACCCCCCTTACTCATCCACCGCTCCCTCGCACGCGCCTCGCCAAGCCGATCCGTACCCGTAGATCCGAACGGGCCAGGGCCGCCTTTGTCTCCCTCTCGCCGCCGTAGCCGCCGCCTTAGCCGCCTTTGTATCCCGCGCGTAACCGGCACCGCCCCGCGCCTGACTCCCGCCGCTGCTGTTGCTGCTGCTGGGGCACGTCACCACAAAGCGCAGTGCGGATAGGCGGCGCGGCCTAGGGGAGGCGACGCCAGTGGTTGGCGATGCGTCACGTGAGGGACCGTGCGCCAATAGGAGGTGCCGGTGCGGAGCGAGGCACGCATGTGCACTAGGAATTGTGAGAGGCGCGGGGGCGGCCTCGGAATAACTCGAGCATGTGATCGTGATGATCGATACGATCAGGCTGATTAATATGATGGCTGTGATCAATATGATTAAGATGATCCGATTGTTTTAATATAATCATTGTGATCGTGATCAACATGATCAAAATAAATAATATAATATTGATGTTCAATATGAATAATGGTGATCATAATCGATATGATCAGGATAATCTATACGATCAGGGTTATCAATATAATAACGGTAATCGTGACCAATACGATGAGAATGAACAATATGATGATCGTGATCAATATAATTAAGATGATCAGGTTTGATCAATATGATCATGGTGATCATTATCAGGACGATAAATTATTATGATCGTATCGATATGATCATAATGACCAATATGATTATCGTGATCCTATTGATTGACAAAATATTGATCGTTAATATGATTGTGAAGGTGGATCATGTTTGGGTATTATGATGGATTAATTATCATGAATATTTTGATAATATAATTTATGGTGTAAATTATGATGAATATGATCATGATAGATCATACGATCATGAGATTAATCGTTATGAAATACGATAAAGAGTATGTTGCTAATCATTATGATTGCGATGGATCATAGATGATTATGATTTTGGACAATCTTAATCATGACATCTGTGAAAGAGTTGTATATCTCATCAGATTCCTCCACTCTAAATACAGATTCTGATTATGATTGCAATGAGGAAGTGTATCCAACAGAAGCCTGCTGTTACGGCCCAAATCCCACAATAAAAGTAAAACATGTTTTACCTCATGTTGTAAATCATTAACAATACACGTCACTAGCATGTTGAGGTACCCCCTTATCAGATTGCTGTCCCCTGGGTTGTCTTACAAGGAGATATCTCCTGCTCGAATCGTAATGATTATTACAAGGGCACACGGATGTTTATAATAAAATCATAAATTCCACGAAGCCCCCCTACCTCACATCACTTTAGTTGATCAAAGGTTCCCTCAATGGAGGCTGAAGTTATTCGATTAGACACGATCATAATCTCGATTTAAAGCTTTCGTGACTGCAATGATTCATCTTCTTTGGTTCTTTCGGTAAAGTCACGTAGAATGAGAATAAAATAATAAATTGATAAAATAAAATAACACAATAATATTCTCACGACGTTTCGTCCACAACACAAGCGGCCTTCATCAGGTGAAGGGACGAGACTGTCTGGTAAAGAGACGAGACTGTCTGGTAGGACAGCGCTGGACAGTCTCGTCCCTTCACCTGATGAAGGCCGCTTGTGTTGTGGCCGAAACGTCGTGAGAATATTATTGTGTTATTTTATTTTATCAATTTATTATTTTATTCTCATTCTACGTGACTTTACCGAAAGAACCAAAGAAGACGATCATAATCGTTAACCGCGTGTAATTTCTCAGCAAAAGTGGTAACGTTGGCGCGCCAACGTCGGTCAAACGTTGACATGTTTCCTGGGTTACAACTGTTGCTCAAATGCATCAATTTCCTCCCGTCCCTTCCTTTTATTCGCTGCTGCTGCTGTTGTTGCCCAAGTCGCGACCTCCACACAGCACGGACCACGGCGAGAAGTAACGACTCGAGGGCCGATTCACAATGAACAATCACGGCGGATTTCACCGCTCCGCAATCCATCCGGCTCAACCCACCTCCGCGTGAAACGACAAAGCCGTGCGAAGCGGACGACGCAGTGTGGTGAGCTCCACGGTCGTCGTGGACTCGTCTCTGCTGCCGCTGCTCATCGTCGTCACCCCATGCCTCTTCTTGCTCCAATCTCTCGGCATCCACCGCGGAGTGAGCGTGGCTCGCTCGACGTGACCCACGGACGCAGGCGCCTTCGTCCGAGGTTGTTCGGGTGGCGGAGCGCTGCGTGAGGGTATTTGGCCTACTCTTCCACGCGGGCCATGCCAGCAGCGCGGCGACAGAAGGGTTGTGAGTTCATGGATTACATCAGCGGTCGGCGAGCAATATAACAACAAGAAGAACCATTTTTTGTTGTTGTAGAATTCGGTCAAATAAAACCCCCTACAAAAACTAAACATCTCAAGAGCCGCCAATGCAACGAGAATTCTTCACGGCGGTCCTGAATAAAGAACGTCACGAAGTGGTCCTTGAAGAGCCGCAGGTCGGCGACCCCTGGGTTACACCTCTATGGACAACTCTCTCATTTACTCCTATAGCATGGCGGAAGTCGCCTAAGAGATGATTATTGAATGTTTGTTTACCCAGGAGAGCCTCACGGAGTATCAAGACTATTTTTCAGGAGGGTCTTGCTCAGTGTTCACGGACGAGAGCGATGTTGCTGCTGCTGCCCGTAGTCCCAAGGGAGTAATGTGCAGGCTACGTTCCAGAATTGGGATGTTTGGCGAATTCCAATGACGTTGCGTGGTTCGTTTTAGCTATGTGGTGGGAGAACTCGAAGAAGCCGCAGAACGACCATGCAGAACAGAGGCAGAGAGAGAGAACACGCAAACTAGCACACGGAGAGGCGCCCCACTCGGACATTGAACCTGGGTGCTTCTTGCTGTGAGGCACGAGTGATATCACACTACACCACCACCACCACCACGCCGCACCAAGATGATGATGATGTAGTCCCTGTCGAGGCACAGAGGGCGCTACAAGCCCAGGAAACAATGAGCTTTCTCCAAATATACCATGGCGCTATTAATTAATCACCACTCCCACGGTCGTAGCCTGCACCACACACATTTCACACAAAATAATATTCGTCAATTACACCGCCCTAAAACATATTTCTAATAATATATTCCATTCAAGGCCACGCAGTGTTATTGACGAATACGTTGAGTTTGTTGTTGTTCATTGTGCTTGTGCACCACTTAAAAAGCAGCACCAGCATCACCAAAGAATGTGTTTAGTTTAGAACACTCCGATTTAACAGCTCGGTGTTTGAGAATCGAAGGAGTGGTGAGCACACTCACTGCAACCATGAACCCGGCCGCGGCTAACATCAGTGGCGAGTGACATCAACAACTACCCCGGAGCCTTCTTCCCTCCGCTCCCCTTCACCAAGCTGCCCAACGCGGTGAAGTATGGTCAAGTAGGAATGAACTCCCACGAGAAGCTCGGCGTGGGGAGGCCTTCATCCAGCGGTGGATTGATCACAGCTGATAATGATTATTGCCACCGTACTGCAAGCAGTGTCTGTCAGGAGCCGTTGCTGGAATAACGCGTGCCTGTCTGCCTGTATGCATGTTGAACTTCTTTCACGCCATACGTAGCCAACCGTGGTCATCGTAGGTGCGGGGCAAGGACAACAAACGTCGGTCTGCATTCCTGTGGGACATTTTAAAATTCCCCGAAATGAGAGCATGGTCTGACAGCACTAGTATGGTATAATGAGAGTGCGTAATGAGTTACTTCACTCACAAATATGATGATGAGTGGGAGGAAGAATTCAATCTGTTGTATTTTAATGAAAGGAGGGGTGGTGAAGCAGTTAGCACACTACTATACTATTTTTTATACGATTTTCAAACTACTTTTATTTTACCAGGTAAGGCCCACTGAGCTACATAGCTCTTTTTCAGAAACGACCTGGTCACAAATGATAGCTCAATGAAGTGGCTTATCGCGTGAAATTATATAG